GTTAGCACATTTTACGAAGTTAGATGTTCCCCGTGATTCCACGTCCACTCTACGAAGGAAGGGATGATGTTCGATCCCAAGGAAGGGTGTTCTCCCGTCTCTGGGAGCAGGAGGTCGAAAAGCTGGTGGATGAGATTGAGGGGGAGAGGTTGATCTGACCTTCCATCCACCCGTTGGGATATAGGGAACTTTCTGGCTACATACCTGAACGTACGTGGGCACAGCGGGCTTCATCTTGCAGCTCGCGCCGTTCCGGCGACTCGGCCAGGAAGGTGGACAGGCCATGGCATGAGGCACCGCCAAAATCTACCCTGGACATAATCAGCACACACCATCCAAAAACCGTCACATGCCATGTGGAAGCCCTGGTCGACGTGCTTACAGTAGAATCTGACCTGCTGCCATTTTCAGCGTGCCATTACCGGTGGTCATCGCAAAGGGCTTTTAAAATCTGCGGAAACCTGGTGGCTTGAATTAGACTGCGTGCGTCATCTGCCGCGTATACATAGAGAGGGATGGCGTGGTCGCCTGCACCAACGCCCTAGTTCGTCAACAAAGAGATAATTTATAGCAATGTACGTTCATCCATATGGACTGTGTAACATGCTCTAGACCCGAGTTGCAATTAAAAGGGTCACCTGGGAATGTTGACCTACAGTTACCGTGACACTAATATATATCCATCAAACTACAAACTACAGGATGAAAACCATACTCAAAGCATGCTACAATCAGCTTTAGCAATACAGATAGCCGCTCATGCATTCGTAACAGACAAAGACAACATGCTATAACAATAACACACATTAATCTATGAACCCAATCTAGCCCAAAAACCTCACCAACGCCTATACTTACAACCGATGCTGCACCGACAAAGCCGCACTAGTACTCTCAAACTCTTTCGCACCAGACCGCTCCGACGTATTCAACCCCAGCGCCGCGACCAGCTTCTTCCACGACTCATACCCGCGCTGGGCATGGCGCTGGGGCGTCGCCGGGTCGGGGTCGGCGAGGGTGCGCGAGAACAGCTCGAGCGAGACCCAGCCCTCGAAGCCGGTGTCAAAGAACGCCCTGGCGGTCTCCAGCACCGGGAGGTAGCCGCCGCGGTCCTCTTCGAAAGCGAACAGGCGGGCATTGCGCGACCAGCTCATGCGCGGCGGCTGGCCGTGCACATGGAAGGGGTGGTTCTCGTCCAGCGGGGCGGCGAGGCGCTCGCCGTCGACGACCTGCACGTAGAAGACCTTGGCCGGGTCGACGGTGGCGCGGAGGGTGGCCAGCGAGGCGGCGAGGTCGGCCGCCGCGTTGGGGGTGGTCCCCGAGGTGGCAGCCGGGTCCGCGTACACGCGGCCGGCCAGGTTAAACGTGTCGAGACAGAGGCCGAAATTGGGGCGGTCGACTTGCTGGACGATCTCCCAGGAGGCTTCCCAGGTGTCGACGTGGTTACCCCAGCAGAGGGCCTCGTAGACGAAGCGGATGGGCGGGTTGCACTGGAGGCCGCGGTCGGCGACGCGCTGCAAGTCGGCGACGATGAGGGCGCGGTCGCCGGAGGTGCGGGCGGCGCCGGTGACGGGGTCGGCGGGCAGGAAGTTGGAGGGGATCTGGATGAGGTCGGTGTCGAGGAGGCGGGCCAGCTCGAACCACTGCGGCAGCTTATCGGTGACGAGGCGGTCGTGCTGGGCGCGGTCGAGCAGGCCCTCGTAGAAGCCGAACGGCTGCAGACAGATGATGGTGAGGCCGAGCGAGATGCAGAGCTGGCGGACGTGGTGGGCGGCGGCGCGGTGGTCGCCGTCGTAGAGCGTCTGGGCCAGATGGTCTAGGTCGTCGAAGAAGAGCTCGATGCCCTCGTAGCCGTGCAGGGCGGCCTGGTGCAGCTTGCTGGGGAGGTCGTGGATGCCAGGACGGCCCAGCGACATGGAGGCGATGCCCAGACGGTTTGGCATTGTGATAGAGGGTGGAGATGGAGAATGGAGGATGGAGGATAGAGGATAGAGAGGGATAGTAGAGGATGTAGTCCGTATTATAGGGGATCAATCAACAAAAGGACTCCGGATGTGATATGTAAGAAGAGGTATGGAGGTGGCGTTGACAAACAGAGATAGAGTAAGAAACGGTGAGAGACTTGGCAGGGCCGGTTCCTTATGAAGAATATTATCTACAGAACATGAGTGCTTTAGTGAATTTAATAACCTACAGTGAATGATGGGAATGCGCTCAACCTGATGTCTGCAGACGCTGAGCACATTGCGAGTACCATTTAGGGCTGCTGCGGCTAAGCGCTTTGCCCCGACCGTTTACCCGTAGGCCTGCTTAATGTACACTGTACTCTGGAGGACTCCGTATAAGTATGCAATACAAAGTGATCTGTATCCACTCGGAAAAGCATTCTGCAATTGCTCTCCTGAATTATCCGGAATTTAACTGTTACTTTCCCATTCACATTCACATCCACACATTCATACGTTCACATTCATACATTCACATTCATACATCACACTTCCACACTTCCAAGACTATGCCCCTCCGAGTTGTGGTTATCGGCGCCGGCCTCATCGGCCCTCGTCATGCGCAATCCGTGCGCGCGAACCCAGACACCGAGCTGGTCGCCCTGATCGACCCGTTCCCCAGCGCCGCCGCCACAGCCCAAAAGCTCGACACGAGCTACTATCCCACGGTCGAGGCCATGCTGCAGGCGATGCCGGCACCAGACGCCGCCATCGTCTGCACGCCCAACCACACGCACGTCCCGATCAGCAAGGAGCTGCTGACAGCCGGCGTGCACGTCCTGGTCGAGAAGCCCATCAGCGACAGCCTGGAAACGGGCCGGAGTCTCCTCGCCCTCGCCGCGCACCAGCACAGCACGCACCCCAACAAACCCACGCTCCTAGTCGGCCACCACCGCCGCTTCAACCCGTACCTCCTCAAGACGAAAGAGATCGTCGACGCCGGCCGCCTGGGCCGCATCATCGCCATCAACGGCCTGTGGACGCTGCACAAACCCGACGCCTACTTCTCGCCGCCGGGCGACTGGCGGCGCGCCCGCGCCTCGGGCGGCGTCTTCGCCATCAACCTCGTCCACGACATCGACCTGCTGCACTACCTGTTCGGGCCGATCGTGCGCATCCACGCCGAGCGCACGACGCCGCAGCGCGCCAACCCGCCGCACGAGGCCGAGGAGGGCGCCGCGCTGACCCTGCGCTTTGCGTCCGGCGTCGTCGGCACGTTCCTCGTCTGCGACGCCACGCCCTCCCCGCACAGCTTCGAGGCCGGCACCGGCGAGAACCCCATGATCCCCGCGGTGGGCGCCGCGGGCGACTTTTACCGCATCTTCGGGTCGGATGCGTCGCTGAGCGTGCCGGATATGACGCGCTGGAGCTACGATGGGCGGCCCGAGAAGAGCTGGACGCAGCCGCTCACGGTGGAGAGGTTTGAGGTGGTCGATGCGACGCCGTTTGATCTGCAGCTGGCGCATTTTGTGGATGTCGTGCGCGGCCGCGCGGCGCCCCGCTGTTCGGGCGAGGACGGGCTGCGCGCGCTGGTGGTGTGTCAGGCGGCGCGGAAGGCGCTGGAGACGGGCACGACGGTGGATTTGGATGCGGATCTGGAGGCGAGTCTTTGAGAGCGTGTGTTACGAGGTATGCATAGGTATGAGATGAATACAGGTGAATACCAGTGACCTGACAAAGTATAGAAAGATAGATTCTGTGCGTGCTCACAAATCCAGATACCAGTACAAGATAAAAAGACAATCACTACGCCTTGGGCACACTCTCCGCCTGCTCCACCCTCTCCACCTGCTGCGCATCGCTCTTGGTGTAGCCCGACTCCTCGATGTCCGTGCGGAAGCGCTCCTCGTCCTCGCGCAGCTGCGCCAGCACCTTGGCGTGCGCCCGCCAGATGGGCTTGTACTCGAACAGCCCGTCCATGCTCTCCAGCGGGATACCCTTGGTCTCGGGGATCAGGAAGAAGACGAACACGATGGACAGGATCATCAGCGACGCGAAGAAAAAGTACACGCCGTACTCCATCTTGGCGAACATCTGCGGCGTGAAGCGCGAGATGAGAAAGTTCCACAGCCAGTTGGAACCGGCGGCGCAGGCCTGCGCCAGGGAACGGACGTTCGGATCGAACATTTCCTATTGTCTGTCAGTTTGTCGCACAACGAGAGGGGCGCGGGGGCGCGGGGACATACCGAGTTCATGACCCAGGGGGTACCGTTCCAGGACGGGGTGTAAAACACCGTCCAGAGGTAGAAGAAGAACATGGCGGCGATGCCGCCGCCGTCAAGGGGCGCGTCGGGATCACGCTCAGTGGGCTTGGCGACCTTGATGTATGCGCCGACAATCCAGAGACAGACGGAACCACCAGCGGCACCGATCATCAGCAGCAGACGCCGACCGAGGCGGTCGATCAGCCACAGCAGCCAGACGAAGGTGACAACGGTCTTGACGACGCCGAAGATGCCGGTGGTCAGCAGCGAGGTGTTGGCACCGCGCAGGCCGATACTCTTGAAGACCGTCGGGCTGTAGTAGTTGATGGCGTTGATGCCGGAGCCGTTCTGCCACAGGAACAGCATGCTGCCCAGGAACAGGCGGTACATGATGCGCTTGTTGGACCAGACAGCCAGGAACGGCTTGGTGAAGCCCAGGCCGATGGTCGAGCGCTGCTGCTCCAGCGACTGGTCGATCGCGCCAATCTCCTCGATCATGTAGATGTGGTCGACGGGGAGCTGTCGGATCCAGCAGAGATTCTGGATGGCCTGCTCGCGGCGACCGCGCAGGAACAGCCAGCGAGGGGATTCGCGCACGAACAGAATACCCAGCAGGAGCAGACCCGAGGGGATCAGCTGCACGGCAAAGGGGATGATCCATTGCTTGTGGCTGGGGGCGAGGGTGTCATCAACACCGAACTATAGCGTAGATATTAGTCGTCTGCACGTGCAGATCATCAGAGGAAGGGGACGTACGCAGATCCAGAAACCGACAAGACCGCCAATCTGCCAGCCCAACTCGTAGACACCGACCAGTCGGCCACGGATAGCCGGGGGCGCCAGTTCGGAGATATAGATGGGGGTGATGTTGGACCCAGCACCCACCCCCAGACCCGCCAGCACACGACCGCCGTAGATCAAGCCTAGACCGCGGTCGCCGTTGGCCCCGAGCATCAGCCCGGCACCGAGGGTGAAGACCAGGGCGGCGACGAACAGGCCCCATCGGCGGCCCCAGAAATGCCCCATGGGGTAGGCGAAGAAGGCGCCGAAAAAGGCGCCGGCCTGGTAGAGCGAGACGATGTTGGCGCTGATCAGGTTCTGCTTGTCGGTGGACATGGCGTCCCAGTTGAATTCATCTTTGAAAGACTGCAGAGAGATGGTGGTGCCGATGAAAGCACTGTCATAACCGATCATACATGAGGTGAAAGAGGCGACGGCGGCCAGGAGGTAGATGCGCCAGTTGTAGACCTCCTTGGGCGTCGGCCTGTCCTCTACCAGCGAGAGGATGGACATGCTGTGTAGCTGTCTAGTATAGGGGATAGAGTGTGGAGAGGATATGGGGAGAAGGTAGAGAGACGAAGGAAGGACGAACAGCCCTAGATTAAATAGTCGACGGACTAGTCACCCAGCGACCCTGGATCCGGGGAATCGAACTGCGGAGAGGAAAGCGATTAAGAATGGAAGAATCTTCTTAGAGTTTTGGCCGGCAAAACGATTTCAGGCCAAGAAAAGAAGAGACTTTGCGCCGTCGTGGAGGCGACGGGGGAATCCCGCTATACGAGGAGAGGATTATGCTTAACAGCAGTAGAGTACCAAGTACCAGACCGCTCCGATGCCGCAGCAGAAATTTGCCCGTGGGTGGAGAACCAGACGGTTCGCTTGGGCAATTGTGGGGAGACCAAGACTCGAGGGAATGGCTGGGGAAAGCCTTTGGCCGGAAGTACTCCGTACGAGTACTCTGTAGATATGAGTATGACGGGGGTTTGGGATATGGGGTGCATGAAATCCAGATGGAGAATGGAGCATGGAGAAAGGGATGGAGACCGTATGGGGATTCAATCTGGAGAAGATCCCCCCGAGACAGCATCCCCATGGGGTTCACGAGGCAAATCTGCAAGCGAGAGTTCCGGCTGAGGATTCCCCCGGGAAAGCGTACACGAGGCGAGCCGTGGGTGTGGAGCCGAGACCCCGCCGGCAGAATGTTTCCAAAGCATTCTTCCGCCAACCCTAACTCTGCACCACTGCACATCCATTGTCCCCGTATTGCACTCTGACCTATACTGTACATATATGCTACGATCTTGACCTTCTAATCGCCATACATCTACAAACCTCTCCCTGACACACTCACAATGGCTGCTCCTCCCACCACATCCGCCTCCTCCGGCTCACCCCCCGAAGAGCCCATCCTCATCCCCGACCATCTCGACGGCGTCGCCTACCTGTACGGCCACCCCCTGCTGAACTCTCTCTCGCCGCCCCTTCACCAGACCGTCTACAATGCCCTCGGTCTCAACTGGACGCAGATCCCGCTGTCCAGCGTCTGCGGCACCTCCGCCACCTACCCGCCGCCCTACACGCGCTCGCCGCCCATCGACAAGTTCCTGGCCTCCATCCGCGCTAACCCCAAGTTCGTCGGCTCGTCCGTGACCATGCCGTGGAAGGTCGCCATTATGCCGCACCTCGACGACCTGACCGAGGACGCCCGCCAGGCTGGCGCCTGCAACACCATCTTCCGCGACCCCGCCGGCCGCTATGTCGGCACCAATACCGACTGCATCGGCATCCGCGAGGCCCTGCTGCAAAACTCCCCCAACCCGGCCGCCTTCCGCGGCCGCCCTGCCCTCATCGTCGGCGGCGGCGGCACCGCCCGCACCGCCATCTACGTCCTGCGCAAGTGGCTCGGCGCCAGCCGCATCTACATCGTCAACCGCGACCGCGCCGAGGTCGACGCCATCCTGGCCGAGGACGCCCAGCGCAACCCGCCGGCGGACTCGGGCCCACCTCGCCCCTCTTGTCCATGTGGATGATCCCGCCGTCGCGGCCACGCTCGAGCGCCCGGGCCGCCATCGTCTCCGGCATCCCCGAAACTACCCGCCCAAGAACGCCCGAAGGAGGTCCGCGCCCGCGACGTCCTGCGGACTTTTCTTGGGGTGCGAGCCGGCGCGGCGGAGCCCCCAGGGCGTCATTCTGGAAATGTGCTACCACCCCGTGCCCTGGACGGAAATCGCCGACATGGCGTCCTCCGCCGGCTGGAAGGTCATCCTGGGCTCCGAGGCCCTCATCTGGCAGGGTCTGGAGCAGGCGCGGCTCTGGACCGGCCAGGACGTGGTCGCCGTGCCGGGCGTGGTCGACCGCGTCAAGGAGGTTGTCAACAACGCCATTGCCGAGCGGTCCCAGACCAAGCCGAAGATGTAACCTTCTTTATTTTGTGTCATGTCATGTACGATAGAGCATACCCTAAGCATAGCTTATAGATTTCATGTCCTATTCAACTCGTCTATGCGTAAATCATGGTATCTACTGATCTATGCCCCCGGCCGCGTATACTCCAGCTGGCGCACCCGGCGCCAGACCTCGCGCACCGTGCGCTCCTGCGACTGTCGCCCGGTTTCGGTCGCCGACGGGCCCGCCGGACTGTCTCGTTAGCCTGTACAGCAGGAAGTATAGGGAAGTACCTACCGAATCGCCAGGTACAACCTACTACCCAGCCGCACATCCTCAATGGGAGCCGTGTCTGGATTCTCGGGTGGGTTGGCGGTCGTCACTAGCCCACCAGCCTCCAGCAGAATGGCAATGCCCGCCGCCACGTCCCTACCCCCGTTAGCCCCAACCCCGACACAAAAAACACAGAAACATACCACTCCCAACAACCGCCCTCCCACCAGATATCAAACGACCCCATAGCCGTGTACGCCAGGTCCAGCGTCGCACTGCCCAGACTCCGCACCCCATGCACCATACCGCCCTTGCCACCGCGGCCGCCTACCTCCGCGGCGAGATTAACAAAGCTCTCGATCTTGCGGTGCATGTTGCCGTCGGGGATATCGCGACGATCCTTACCCCACTCGCACGCGAAGATGCACTTGCTGGGCGCGGTGGCGGGCATCGGCGGCACAGGGTTGCGCAGCAGCGGCAGCCTCCGTGTCTCGTTTAGCCAGGCGCCGCGGTTGACGCAGCTGGAGAACAGCTGGTCTTGGAAGGGGGCGTAGATCACCCCCGATCACGGGGCGGTGGTTGACGAGGAAGCCGATGGAGACGCAGAACATGGGGAAGATGTGGGTGAAGTTGACTGTTCCTGTGGGTTGTTAGTGGTTTTCGTAGCGTATGGGATCGTGTAGGAGGGGTACCGTCTAACGGGTCGATGCACCAGGTGGGATTCTCGTCGATCAGGTAGTCGCGCGACTGGCCTTTGGCGTAGGTTTCTTCGCCGAGGAATCTGGAGGGTTAGTGTTGGTCGAGGGTGGCATGGGGAGGCATACTTGTGCGAGGGGTATTGGCGTTGGATGGCGGTTTTGATGAACGTTTCCACGTCTGCTGGATTTAGCCGTGATCGCATTTCAAGTGAAGTCGAAACGCACCCTCATCTGTCTGCGTAACAATATCAACGGCATTCTCCTTCTCGTCGGCCTCGCGGCTCTGCTCGCCGTCCATGCGCTTCTCGATGCTCTCGAGCAGTAACTGGCCGGCCTTGCGGCCGAGATCGACGGCGAAGGCGTAGATCTCGTCCAGCTGTTGCTGGGTGAGTTCGGGGACTGCCATTTGTAGTTGTTCTGAGGATCCCGGATGTTAGACTGAGTATGATCCTGGATAGTGAGGAGAGAGTGTGTGAGGGGAAGAGAAGAAGCGTCCTTAGGCGGCCGCGGGTAGCCGAGAAAAAGATAGCGGTTGGCTCCACCGGGCAGTGGATTAGTACGCTGATGGGGGGTGATGGGCGACATGGTGGGCTCTCTAACGCTGTCAACACTTTGTTTGGCATCGACAGTAGTATAGGACTTTCTTTGTTCACAAACTGTTTGTATTGGATGTAGGGTTGGTAGTTCTATGTGGTGGTTTGACCGATTCTATAGAGCGACAAGTGTGACTATTAATGACTATGACTATGACTCTGAAGAACAGAGTATACAACAGTAACCTGACTGGACCTGCTTTACACTGACACTGATCATAATACTATCTCCATTAGAAATTACTATAGAATCACTTATTAGAACCTGGCAATCATATTGGAAGCAACTCTTCTGCATCGTATCCGAGTTGCCACCGCGCATTCCGCCACCATACTCCGTACTCCATACTCCATACAACTCTCTTCATAACTATGCACCGGAGCTATCAACTTCTAGTCGACTAGATAACTTCTTCAGTCTAGACCAAAAATTTCTCATATTAATCTTATTCATGGAGTCCTCCCCCTTCGAATCTCGGGTTGCCGTGGGCAGTTCGGTATGCCGGGAAAGCGTTCAGCCCGTTAGGGTTCACCCTAACGGGCCAGATCTGGGGTATGTACGGAGTACTACTATATCGGTTCATGGAGATGTTTAGTCCATTTCTGTGAGCCTGAGTTGCCTATGGATGTGCTTGTATTATTTGATACAGTCTGCCAGATGGAGATTGCAGCGATCCCTTCTCCAACCTGTCCGCCCTAATTGCTGCTATCGGAGGACAGTTGGAGAACATCACTTGGAGTAACCCCTCCCTCCTTTATACACCACCTGCGGTCCATCTACAATCCACCACACCAAAGCATACGATGGAGCTCTACCGTCTAACCGCCTTCCAGGCCCTCCAGCAGATCCGCTCCAACCAGCTCACCGTCGAGGAATATGCCCGTGCTCTGCTGGCCCGTATCGACGCCCGCGACGACCATACAAGAGCCTGGGCGTATCTGAATCGCGATCTCGTGCTCGAACAAGCTCGCCGTCTCGATCGGATCCCCCCAGAGCAACGAGGACCTCTGCATGGAGTCGCCGTGGGCGTCAAAGACGTGATCTATACCAAAGGTACTGCGCCTGCTCTTGCGAGCTCCATCCACGCTAAGACAAACCAGACATGCCAACACAGCACAACTCGCCCATCTACGCGGACAGCCACGCCCAAGTAGACGCAGCATCGGTCATCATCCTACGACAGGCAGGGGCCCTCATCCTTGGTAAGCCTCAGAGTCGCCTGCACACAAGCGACGCTAACACCACTCTGCGCAGGCAAAACAACAACAACCGAGTTCGCTGCCACCGTCAAAGGCCCGCAAACACGCAACCCGCACGATCCCAGCCGCACCCCCGGCGGCTCGTCGTCCGGTTCCGGCGCCGCCGTCGCCGACCTACAAGTTCCACTGGCTCTGGGCACGCAGACGGGTGGGAGCATCATCCGCCCGGGCTCGTTCAACGGCGTCTACGCCCTGAAGCCGACGTGGAATGCCATCAACCGCGAGGGGCAGAAGATTTACTCGCCGATTCTGGACACGGTCGGGCTGTATGCCCGTTGCGTCGAGGATCTGTCCCTTCTCGCTGATGTATTTGCGCTGGATGACGATGACGAAAGTGATCACAGCTTCCAACTGCAGGGTGCGCGGTTCGCCGTCGTCAAGACGCCCGTCTGGGATAAGGCCGGGCCCGGAACAATTGCAGCCATGGAGACTGCGACGCGGTTGTTGCGTGCGCAGGGCGCCGAGGTCGAGGAGCTCGAGTTGCCGGAGGAGTTTGCGCAGCTGCCGCACTGGCATGGCGTTGTCATGGCTGCCGACGGGCAGGTGGCCTTTCTGCCGGAGTACCAGGCGGATCGTGGCCGCTTGCACGACTACCTCGTTGGGCTTGCCGAGAACCGGGATCGGCATAGTCGTGCGGAGCGGCTGAAGGCGTTCGATGGGATCGCCATGCTGCGGCCGAAGATCGACGAGATTGCCTCGCGATACGCTGCTATTCTTGCCCCGAGCGTGCCGGATGAGGCCCCCGTGGGGATTGAAAGTACGGGAAGTGCAGTGTTTAATGGAATGTGGACGGTAAGTTCCTGGTAGCGTGGTGCATCGTACAGACACAAACTCATCCACTGTAGGCGTTGCACACCCCCGTTATCAACATCCCTGGCTTCAAGGGCGCCAATGGCCTGCCCATCGGTCTGTCTTTGGTGGCACCGCGGTACCGCGACCGGCATCTTCTCCGTGTGGGCACGGCGGTGGGAAGACTCTTTGAGGCCGAGGGAGGCTGGCGGTCGGAGATATAGTCCATGTCAATTAGAGTGACAAGAGATGACCTCACGGAACCCTAAATCACCTACACCATGACCGCCACAACCGCCGTAGAATGCCATTATGAACAAAAAGTATAGCATAGACAGCTCACATTACTGGCTTACCTTTCCAATGGCAACAGCAACAGCAACTACACACCCCCCTCCAGCCCGCCAGACGGCCCTGGCACTCATCTATCCCAACTTCAACGCGCTGGAGACCACAGGACCGGCCGAAGTATTCTTCAACATCGGCTGCAGCGTGGCCGTCGCGGCCAGCGACAATCTCACAACGTCTCAGGAGAGCTAGCTCATCCGGGATTTTGCGCACACGCCTCCAAGAGAAGGTCACAGCGAACGCGCGATTCTCGGGGGCGCACTCGGATCATACCTTCTCGGCGCTGCCGGGGCGCTGGACGGGCTGTCCGCCACGATGCATCGGCTGGTGCTGGGCACACTGCGACATATCTGTGCTCAGTCGCTGCGGAGTGGAAGACAGAGAGTTGGCACGGTTGTTGTGCCGTGTCTCAGACGAGGCTCCGTTATATGTGGATGCTGGGTAAAACGGCGCTGGGGTACGAGTGATTACCATTAGCGGTCCGTCGGCTGCGATCGACGCGACGCTACATTTGGTGGTGCAGTGGAAGGGGCTTTCGGTTGCGGAGGAGGCTGCTATGTTCTTGGGGCATTTGTGGAGGGAGGCTTGACTTCGCGGGACTGTATATACATAAATGTATAGGGCAGTATTATACATAGATCCATACCTCAGCAGATGATTCCTTTCAATAAAATTTCATTACTATTCTAATGTCACCTACGTTAAGCATTATGCCTGCCTGCTGTCATACCGGGAAAGCACTCAGCCGGGAGACCGTTTACCCGGGGTCGGAAATCCCCCCACAGGATCGTAGAGGGGCATATGCTACTCCGCACACCTAATGCGGAATAATGCCATCAGAATATATTCACTCCCCGCATCAACGTCTCTATCATACCCTCAACCTAATACCTCCCTTCCACGTCGAAAGAATCCCGACGCCACCATGCCCAAATCCATCCTCCTCATCAACGGCCCCAACCTCAATCTCCTGGGCACCCGCGAGCCGCACATCTACGGCAGCACGACCCTAGCCGACGTCGAGGCCGCCAGCAAGGCGCACGCCGAGTCGCTCGGCGCCACGCTCGAGTCATTCCAGTCTAACCACGAGGGCGCCATCGTCGACCGCATCCAGGCTGCCCGCGGCCGCGTCGACGGCATCGTCATCAACCCGGGCGCATACACGCACACCTCCGTCGCCATCCGCGACGCCCTCCTCGGCGTCGGCATCCCGTTCATCGAGCTGCATGTGAGCAATGTGCATGCGCGCGAGCCCTGGCGGCACCATAGCTATTTCAGCGATAAGGCGGCGGGGATCATTGTCGGATTGGGGGTGTATGGGTACCGGGTTGCGGTGGAGCATGTGGCGGTGAATTTTAAGGAGTTGGAAAAGGCGAATCTGTGATTGGGTTGGTCTTATCTTCGTTGTGTATTGTGTATGTATGAGTGTATTTCGTTTCTGCTTGTACATAGTTGGATAGACCATAGCGGTATGGTTTGAAGTAAAATACATGTCCTAGTGGATCAAATATATGTGGTAATATCTACAGTCGAAGGGAACGCTGGGATCAGACGTCATCGTCTCGTCGACTGACTGTCGCCCTCTTGTGCTCCACCCGCTTCATGCGGGAGCGGTTGTGTCTGCGCCAGCAGGAACGGCTCCACCTGGCTCGCGTAGGAATATAGCTCGGGGATGCCGGCGTCCGGGACGAAGCCCAAGTTTTGCATAAACTCGGGTTGGTTGTCGGCCCTGGAGGTAATCGTCAGCAGTCAGCGTCACTATTCGTTTCAGTAAACTCACTTCTCGGTGCCGTCTAATGACGCCAGCTCGTCAAACAGGGCGTCCAGGTCTGGTGCGATTCGCGGCCGATGTAGAGGGCCGTAAGCGTCCATGTCAACGAATGACCCCAGGTTTAGATTCGGGTCGTTGTAAGGAGTCTGGTAATGAGGTGCGGTGGGAGGAAAGGGTGATGTTAAGTCGGGAATCATGGGAGGTGCGTTCATCGGTTTTGTAGCGGAGAGAGAAGGTCGATGTCGGTGTGGCGTTCGCGATGCATCGGTTGTGCGGCTGATATTGATGGACGGGGTAGGGGTAGGTAAGGATAGGCCAGCATTATCATCCATGCTAGGAGCTGATCTCATCCATGGATTGGACAAGAAGGAATCCGGTGCCGGAAAGCCGGACCGCCCTTCATCCAGTGCGCTTGTTCGTCGCATAGCCCCTTCTCTACTAGACGCGGATGGAAGAAATGAGCTCGCGGGTGAGTCGAATGTGGACAGGCTCGGGCGAGGCGCCGGAGGAGCGGATGCACGAGGAATCGGCCCTTCAGAGCTCAAATCCCCACCAAGATTCTCCTGTGTAGACCAGACGGTACTAAGATGGGAAGAAAAAGACTGCAGCTTCTGCTTGAGTCCAGGCTCGACGTCGGAGATGCTTTCTCTTGTTTGTATCGCAAGTGTGAGGAGAGCCCCAAAGGTCGGACACGTTGCCGACAGACTGTACGTCTCCATATATCTTTGTACCAGCATGAGTAACCTCTTGGAGCCTTCGATCATGCCCTGTTTGTGGGCGATGCCGCTTTCCCCTTCGTTCCTCGCTGCGATCTCTCGGCTCAAGATGACCACGGCGCTCTCATACATCATTTCTAGCCCGAAAATGTGCGGCGACGCTGGTTTGTTCATGTTTCCTTGAAGGTCTATTCGGTAGCTTTTCGGTAACGCTGTGACCCAGAGTTGGAGCTGGCGTTGAAGCGACCCTAACTGTGGTGTCGTGATGGAGTTCCACGTCAAACAGCAAAAGTCGTTTATGATGCACATCAATGACACCAACCGGTTGAATGTACTCAGCGCGTGGAGTGGTCCACGGTGGAAAGAACCGCGCCCTTGTTCAACTGCGCGAAGACCAGTCTGGTCCTCCCAAGGATGCCATTCTTCCAGGCCATCCTCGTTAATCGCACCGACCTCGGACAGACATTCTTTCCGCAGAGACGGGAGATGGCCAGTACGCACCGCAACCAAAGTTTCCAGCACAAAACAGCCCAGAAAAGCATGCTTTGTTCGGCCGGGTCCAGTCCCACCCCCATTCGATGTCGCTGGGGATGATAGGTCCAATCCCAGACACTGGAAGATCCGAATGGCTCGGCCGACCAGTCGCCATGCTGCGGGCCAGTCCTGCTGGCCGATCTTGACAAGCGACAGGATCAGAAGGGCTTGGACGTGGCCCATTTCGTAGACACCGTCCTCCGTCGGGATGAGCTTTATCGTAGTTGTATATAACTGGTTAGGGTTTGAGTGATCACCAGCTGTGCGTGGAAGCTGGCGAATTATAGCTATTGATGCCTCCTGGAAGGAAGCCAAAGTCAAAATCGCCCACAAGGCTGCATAATCGCCAGATCCAGCTGACAGTGGTGAGATCGCGGTATCGTCTTCTGAGAGGCGAAAAGCGGTACGTAGAATATCATGCTTCTCGAGGATGGGAAACCAGCATTGCGTGTAGGAGAAATATATGTCAAGTAAGGGCCATGTGTTTGCCGGAAGTTTGAAGTGGGTTTCGGTCGTCTGTGCGGAGGGAGGGAGTAAAGGGGGTATCGCATCAACAAGTGTTGTCTGAATTGCCGAATCTCGCATTGGACGTGGGGCATGGTGTCTTGCAGTTGACGCTGCAGACGGTGTTTTCACCGGAGAGAACCCAGAGGCCGTCGAATGTTCTCGTCCATCGGCCGTGGATTCAGGCATGTGCCACTCCAGCGTATCAGCTGAGAGAACACTACTGCCTTCCGCGTCTGCAGGAGACTCGTTTTCGGCGGCGCGGTTCTGTTCTTCTTCTGGTTGCTCCAGGAAGAGCAGCATTTTCTCAATATCTCGTAGGACAACGCTGTTCTTCCACGAGGACAACAGGGTGTCGGATCCTTCGGCCTCCTTACCCATTGTTGCCAAGTGACTCGGCATATTGGCTTGTTTTAACAGAGCCCGCACCACCTCTTCACTCCCCTGTATTTTGCAAAACACGAGGCCCCATAGTAACTCAATTGTGCGAATGTATCCCGTGGGAAGGCCTCGTTTTTTAGGGTTGGCTTTGTAGGTGCAGGGCCGGGAGAGCGACGCGCAGGTGGAACACACCGGCTGGACACCATCGCACTTGTCCTTCTTGGAGCGACAGCTGTCGCAGGCCCGGGAAACACGCTGTCGCTTGGGGTTCGCAGACGAGTCTTCCGTAGCCGGGTGCTGACGGGCATCGTCTTCAGGGTCGATCAAACGGCGTTTCGATCGGTTGGTAGCCGCCGGGGCTGGGCGGGTATCGCTACTCATGATCGTCGTCTATCGAACGGTCGAATAGAATGATCTGGACGCCTGTGCATCTTCAGATGGATTGTGTGCAGCCGAGAGGAACGCTTTGCCGACGGCGAATTGCACATGAGATTGCGCCTCGACCGCGCCCCACCAGGCTGGGAGAAGATGCAGTAGAGTACAGGCGATCTCTGCAATATGCAGACTAATTCTCAGCCAAAATGAGCTAGGATTGAGGGCCGAACCAGGCCAGACCGAATGGGGGAGAGGATGTGGTCGATGGTGGTGGACGGATATTGGGAGAAGCGGAGAAACGAAACAAGCGAAATATGGGGAACCGAGGATTGCTTAGCCGGGCTTGAGACAGCGCGATCGGACCGATTGTAGATGGATAAGGTCCTAGTATTTGAACTCGAGTGAATCGACCGAAGCGACCATCGAAGCAGACAGGATCATTTTCACAGTTGACCTGCAGTGGTGGAGATGATGCTGAGAGGGAAAATTTCCCCGCGGGGAGCCAAAAGTCAGTTTGCAAATGCACGGATGAGCATTTGTCCGTCGCAGCGGCCTCAGGCATCTCGCTTCCCCACGATTTTTCCCGTTCGGTTCCCACCGCCAACCCTTTGCTCTCTGTCCTCCACATTTTCCCCTCTGACGCATATCCACTTCAGTCTCTATCTTCAGGTGTCTTCGTGTGTCTTCTATCAAGGAGTCGTGGGAGTTGGTCCCAGCTGCGTCCAGTCCGAATGCTTCGCTCTCTGTCGCAGCTCCGACTTCCCCCCTCATTCACCAGCATGGGATAGCAGGCAAACACCCCATCAAGATAACTCCCCTTCCAGCGCCCATAATTTAAATGGCCACTTCTAGCGCAATGTCGGTTCTCGTCAGACCGCCAAAACGCAAATTGGACGAGCTCGAAGGCCTCCAGGACCAACCGAGCCGGCGGCCGTCATACGGGACTCCCAGCCATGCTTATATTCAAAGTCCCCATCACTCCTCAGATTCGCCCTGGGCCACCGATGTGTCGCGTCCCTCCACAGATCACTCCGATATTCTAGGAGAGGGACGTTTACCTCCGTCACTGCGAGAGTTCAACTCCAACCGGGCCTCCCCCGCGTGTTTCGACGGTCCATTTCAAGCCCAGAGGAAATTCGCACCCAATGCGTCGATCGTGCTTTTGGGAATCCGTGGCACCGGAAAGTCCAGTCTGGCCGTCATACTGGCTGGGACCTCTGGAAGACGGTTGATTGATGCCGATCGTTACTTCCAGCAGGTCACCGGCCGGACGCGTGCGGCCTTCAAGAAAGACTCCAGCTTATCAGACTATCGGCAACAAGAGACGAAAGTCATGGAGTCCATTTTGAACGAACATTCAGAAGGCTGTGTCATCGTGTGTGGACCTGCATCCACCGAACGCAATGTCCAGATGCTTCTACGGGAATATGCCAAAACCCACCCGGTCATCCACATCATTCGGGACGCGGACAGTATACAGTCGTACCTTAAAGCATGGGACACCGATAAGGTACGCCGGTTCCTTGAGGCATCTGGTCCCATCTACCGTGCGTGTTCCAACCTAGAGTTCTTCAATGTATCGGAGAAGGGTGGTGGAGATGGAAAAGACAGCCAGCATGGCTCGCACCCAGAACTAGAGCTTGACCAGCGGTTTCAAACATCGACTCCATTCCTCACCCTTAAGCGCTTGCAGCGCGACTTCCTCCGGTTCATCGCCTTTGCAACTGGAGACGCCACTGACCTGAAAAATCAACAAACATCATTTCCCTTGTCCACGCAGCCAATCGAGTCCCGCACATTTACTTATGCAGTCGATGTACCTATCTCTTCCCTATTCGAGCAGGACATGGATATTGAGGACCTGGAATCCACCGCAGATGCCTTCCAACTAAAGATTGATGTCCATGACACTGCGTCGTCCCATTTAGGGATCGACCCCAACCTTGCCAACCGCATCAGTGAGGCGGTGGCCACCATCAGACGAAACATCGTGGTGCCTTTGATATTCCATGTGGAGAGTAATGCTGGTCCAGATGATTCAAGTCCATTACACCATCACCCACCTCGTCGCCCAGAAACCGCGTATTTGAACCTGGTGCAACATGGACTTCGCCTGGCGCCGGATTTCCTGACAGTCGACCTATCCTATGATGACAGCCTCCTGTTACAGGTCATCAGCTTGAAAGGTTCGAGCAAAGTTATCGGCCACTATGCGAACCCGCAACCTTTCCCAGCAGGCTGGGACGATCCCAAATATCTTGCCATGTACGAACGTGGTCGAAAACTCGGGTGTGACATGGTGCGGTTGATCCAACCGGCAGTCACCATAGAGGACAATTTCGCCGTACAGCGCTTCCGTCACCATGTCAAAACTATCCACGGAACGGAGGTCCCCCTCATCGCCTACAATTCCGGGCCTTTGGGCCGGTTGTCCGGCTGTTTCAACCCAATCATGACACCGGTCATTCCCCCGCCACTTAGATCTGAGGCTCAGGCAAAAGGGTTACCATCTATCACACTACGGGAAGCGCAGGAAGCTCTCTACTCATCATTCGCGCTCGACCCCATGCAATTTTTCGTCTTCGGTGCGAACGTGACGTACAGTTTGTCACCGGCCATGCATAACGCGGCGTTTAAAGTCTGTGGCATGCCGCACGTATACAGCATCCACCAGTCACCTTCCCTGCGAGGGCTCAATGAGCTTGTGGAAAATCCTTACTTTGGAGGGACCAGTGTCAGTCTGCCATACAAGACAGAATCCATTCCCCTTCTTCATTCCATGTCCCCGCATGCACGAGCAATTGGCGCAGTCAACACTCTAATACCCATTCGCAACTTGGAACAGCATGCGCTGAACGCTGAGGATTCGTTGTACATGGAAAAGAGCCGCGCGGGTCCGATCAAGGCCCTTCACGGCGACAACACCGACTGGATCGGCATCTGCAATTGCTTCCGGCGAGGCTTGTCTCCAGCAAACGCCATCCGCCCCTCGTCCACTGGGCTGGTGATCGGAGCTGGTGGTATGGCTCGTGCTGCTATCTACTCGATGATCCATCTTGGTGTGCAAAACATCTTTGTCTGGAACCGCACTCTGGCCAACTCCGAAAAGCTCGCCCATCATTACAACCGACAGAACCTGTATCCTCCCAGACAAAACGGATCCGATTCACGACCCACTGTACACACGCTTAAGTCGCTGCACGACCCTTGGCCTACTAATTACAAACAACCGACCGTTATCTGCTCTGGTATCCCGGCGCACAGCATTGGGAATGAACCAGCACCGAACTTTGAGATACCAATTCAATGGTTGGAAAGTCCCACGGGTGGCGTCGTCGTCGATGTAAGTATCCATCTGTCTGGCTTTCCGTGTTCATAGTACTAACATGGCACAGCTGGCTTACAAACCGCTGAACACCCCATTGATGAAGCAAATCCGTGCCCTTTCCCACCGTGGCTGGGTCGCCCTGGACGGTCTGGATGTCCTTCCAGAGCAAGGATTTGCGCAGTTTGAGCTCTTCACTGGTCGTCGTGCTCCGCGGCGGCTGATGCGGACCATCGTTCTGGAGGAGTATAGAGGAGAGGAAGGACAGTACGATCCGAGTTCTATTCAGACGCGGCTTGACAACATGGATGGACAACCTACGTGATGTGCATTGGATCATGAAGTAATACAGCGCACCTCTACTATCCCAGCAAGGGTCATTACCCGTCCTAGGACAGAAATGCGTCCTTCCAAATATGCACGTTATGGGTCGAGAGTTTGAGACTCTGCGACAGTGCATGAAGCCGAGCACACTCCTTTGGAGGCGATTGCTCTAGCGAGAACGAGAGCGAGGTTTGTCGAGCCATTCGCTTGACGATGGGCCCGCCCTTCTTCACGACGCATGTATACAGTTACGCGGGACGACCACGAAACAACATAAAACTGATGTCATTCATATTAAGCTCTTCGTACCGATAACATTATCAACCACTTAATCCATCATTTCCCATCATCTCCAGGGACGATCTTCTTAAAGTTCCCACAGTTGAGTCTCGTCTTATCGGGCGCATGCACCACCCACGAGCGATCTCCAAAGTAGGCCGGGCTTCCTGGCACATTGGACAGGAAGTAGTCCCGGAACTCGGCTATGAACTGGGTGTCGTCGGGTGCAAAAGCCGGGCCATGCTTCCCGCTCAGGTCACCGACCTGGCACGTCGCCGGGTTTCCGATGTCGCAGGGAGGGTTTTCGCCGCGACCGTAGGGGTCGAGATGGGCGCCCGTCGCGTAGCAGTTGCCATCTTCGGGGACCGGGTGTTCGTGGATGTGGTATACTTTGTTATGGTCAGTTTTTCGTCACGGTCTTGGGTGGGAGGAGATAACATACGCAGAGATTCGTGGCCTTCGATGCCCTTCAGGACGACCCGGAAGTCCATGCCTATAGGGCTGTCGGTCCAGGCTTCGATATACCCTCTGACAGTGCTGTTGTGCTTGATCTGCAGCTGGGAGTGGTACAGATCCGTGGGACAGTTGTCGGTCACGATGGGGGCCTCAGTCTGCGCGTTGGCGCAGAGAGCGAGGCCGAAGAGGCCGGTGAGAATTGATCTCGACAACATCAAGAAATTGACTTTGACTGAGTCTGGGTGAGCGAGTGAAAGAAGGGATGGCCCAGAGGGTTTTATATGAACAATATCGACTGGAGAGAAACAAGGGGCTGGGCATCGCTTAGGTATCCTGTGGCTTCCAGAAAGAATGCGCGTGTTCGCCAGTTTTCACATAGCAACGAGGCTAACAGCATGATGACAGGATGGAAAGCACTGTTTGCTGCATGGGATCAGTCTCCCCATTGGAGAGAAGGGGGATCGTCACTCTGGGGATACGGGCCTTCGTGTTTGCAGTTACACAGGGATGCAATAGTCGAGTGTGGCGCTCTGCCTCGCTGCGGGAATCCGGCTCTCGCAAATGATGTCTCCGATGTGAGGTGGGTGCTGAGGCGTGCAAAAGAGAACGTGTACAAGCTCACGACATGGTCCATCTCTGCGTCTGGATGTCATCGCCGGCCACGTCCTCTTCCGTTCTCTCCTGGATATCCCTTTCTCGGGTTAAGATTACTGCCCAAGAACTATCCAGCTCAGCAATTACAGTCTAGATTCAGGAGGCACACCTCCTTGCAGCAATACGTTGCCATGTGGGAGCAGATCAACAACAAGTTACAGGTGATCTCCAAGCAAAGCTAAGACTTTAGCGGCTGTATATAGACACCCTATAGGCAGTGTTATGTACAAGCATTGGACCGAGGCTTGGTCTGCAGTATCAAAAAATAGGATGAAAAATGCTGTCTCTGAATGAGCTTTCGAAGCTCAATCCGTGATGCAGTACAATACTATGGTTCCTAGAGACACTTCTTCAACAGAGCGCAATACTAATCTCGTCCCATTTCCGTCCGACTTACAACAGCATAGCTTTCGTAATAGTAATCGCAAGTAGAAACTCCTCTTCTAGCCGTCTTCTCTGAATGGAACCTCGATCTCTGCGGCAGCTAACAGCCCGTCATCGAGGCCACGGGAATTCTCCTTCCGCGGAGGATCCATCGCCCCACGTCCATGAGGCCATTCTCTCCCCGGCGATTGACTCGTTCTGGGGTACAGAGACAGCGTCTCTCATTTCCATCTCTGGACTATGATGGAGACATATTGTGGGGTCCCCAGACTTTCCCACAAGCTGGGAGAAAGATATAAACAGACGCTCCTGCATCCAGTGTCAGACTGACATCGCCCTTGTCTGCATCCATCGCCGACACCACCATGCTCCACGGAAGGCCCCTTCGCCTCGCGCAGGTGCTTCTCGCCGTAGCGCCAGCTTTTATCACCTATGGATACAATCAGGCAGGCGTGTCGCCGCTCACCAGTCTGCAATCATGGTAAGTTACCTCCCCAGACAATGGCGCCACACCCATGGGACGAAACTGACCCCCAGCCAGGGTCACCGTCTTTCCGGAAATTGACACCGTCAATACCGAGGGTGCAGTAAAGACGACAAACTCGACCCGGCAGGGCGCCGTCATCGCGTCTCTGCAACTGGGCGCTCTCGTGGGGGCGCTCTCGTGTGCCTTCTACGGTGACCGGCTCGGCCGCCGCAAGACCATCTTCCTCGCAGCGCTCATCGCCATCATCGGCGAGCTGCTGCAAACTTCCGCCTACGACATCAGCCAGTTCACCGTCGGGCGCGTCATCCTCGGCATCGGCATCGGCCAGCTGAGTGCCACCGTCCCCGTGTGGCAGGCCGAGTGTTCGTCCGCAAAACACCGCGGCCAACACGTCGTCGTCGACGGCATCTGCATGGTGCTCGGCTTTGTGCTCACCAACTGGATCGACTACGGCTTCAGCAAGACGACTGGCTACATACAATGGCGTGTACCTCTGGCATTGGCGTTCCTGTTTCCCCTGACCGTCCTCGGGTCCGTGTTCCTCCTGCCCGAGTCTCCACGCTGGCTCGTGATGGTGTCGAAGAGGGAGGAGGCAGCGCGCAGTCTGGCCGCGTATAAAGGGCTTTCTGTAGCCGACGAAGCGGTGCAGACCGAGATCGCCAGTATCGAGTCGTCGCTGGAACTCACAGCGCAGTCGAAGAGCCTCACGCTCCGCGAGCTCTTCCTGGGCAACGACGAGGAGCGCCTGCTGTACCGGTTCGCTCTCTGCCTCGTCATCCAGTTCTTCCAGCAAATGTGTGGCGGCAATCTTATCTCCACCTACATCGACCACATCTTCGAGGAGAGCCTCGGACTGGACGGCGAGCTCGCGCGGATTCTTGGCGCCAGCGCGCTGACTTGGAAGTTCGTCTGTAACTTTATTCCGTTCTTTGCAATCGACCGCCTCGGCCGCCGCAAGGTGTTCATCTTCAGCGGCGCCGGCATGTGTCTCTGCATGACGGTGCTGGCCATCACGACCAGCTTCGGCGACGGGCGCCGCGACCTGTCCATCGTGTCGGTCGTGTTTATCTGGCTGTTCAACATGTTCTATCCGATCGGCTTCTCCGGCGCCAACTTCCTCTACTGCACGGAGGTCGCGCCTATGCGGCTGCGGGTTATCATGTCGTCGGCGTCGACGGCGAACAAGTGGCTGTGGAATTTTATCGTGGTGATGATCACCCCCGTCGCGCTCAACACCATCGGCTGGCGCTACTATATCGTCTACGCTGTGATTTCCGCCTGCATTCCCATCACTGTGTACTTTTTTTACCCCGAGACCATGAATCGCAACCTCGAGGCCTTGAACGGGGTGTTCCGCGATGCGCCGACCCCGTGGCATATTGTGGCTATGGCCAGGAAGCTGCCGCAGGGCGATGTGATGGACGCGGATGTGCAGAGAACGGAGAAGCCGGATATCGAGCAGAAGGAGTATGCTTGATTGCTTCGATTGGCTGTATGTAGGAAGACTTGTATATAGTTCTTGTGCGTCGGGCGGGTATATAGTTCGTGTGGTTCATTTACAGACATGACATTAAAGTTACGAATCCAACTGTTATTGAAGAACATAATCTATTAGGCAAGAAGGGAATAGGAGGTCACTAGAAGTGTACGCGCTGGCCGAAGCAGGTAGTGAGGTCCTGCAGCAATGGAGATTATGCACGATGCGCGGCACTATGCATGCAATCTAAGCACATGAAAGCTGTCCACAAGACGGAAAAGCCCATAGCCTTAGCACTAATTACCTTAATAATAATAATATATCGGGTGGTGAGTTCCACTTATCGAATCCTTCGCCTGGTGGATCCGCGCAGCACGGAACTGGACGTGCCGCGGAAGTCGACAAAGCCCTAACCACTTCAGTGTAGTATACGACGTAGAGGTTGATCGTTCTCTGACGAACAACGGACCACAAAATGCCGTGGAATGGTTCTTGGGGAACTAATTGCGTCTATCGCATGGACGGATTGCCGGGACTATGTATGGTAACCAAATAGCAAATGATATAGTATATAAAAGCGAATATAGTATACCGCCACGAGCCGTATGCAGGACTCCATTCACATAGCGATTTCAGTAATCTAAGCACCATGTCACAGACCTACTCAATCACCCAGACCGAATCCATCCCCGTCGTCCAGACAATCCAATGGACCCAAAAAGCATCAGTGCGCAAGTCCATCCCAGCGGTATGGATGCGCGCCGGCACGTCCAAGGGCCTTTTCATCCACCGACACCATCTCCCGCCCTCGCCCGCGGACTGGGAACCAATCTTACTGTCCGCAATGGGCTCCACGAAGGAAGGCTCTCGGCAGATCAACGGGGTCGGCGGTGCATCTTCGACAACGTCCAAGGTAGCTGTCGTGGAACGGTCCAGTCGCCCAGGCGTCGACGTCGAGTATACGTTTGTGCAGGTGGCTCCAGACCAGCCGCGGATCGATATGACAGGGAACTGTGGCAATATTGCCTCGGGGATTGGGCCGTTCGCGCTTGATGAGGGCCTTGTGCGTGCGCCGGAGGGGAAGAAGGAGGTTCGTACATCTGTTTTCCTTTCGATGTGAGACGACGCTAATTGTTCCAGATTGATATCAGAATCTACAATACCAACACCAAACAGCATCTTGTCGAAACGGTACAAGTTGCAGTGGACGGTTCGTTCCGCGAGGACGGCGAGTATGCCATCCCAGGCGTGGACGGCATGGCCAGTCCAGTCAGAGTTGCCTTCCTCAATCCCGGAGGCAGCATGACGGGGTGCATGTTTCCCAGCGGATTGCGCCAGGAGACGCTGGCGGTGACGTCTCGGGGGCATGGAGCGTTTGACGTGCGTGTCAGTCTCGTTGATGCGGCGAATCCATTTGTGTTGGTCGACGCAGCATCTTTACCCGTGAAGAGTATCCCCGCCCTAGCAGAGTCTGCTAATCAAGGCTTCCTGGCGCTAATCGAGGACATCCGGAGGCATGGCGCGGTGCGGTTTGGACTTGCGGCGGATGTGCAGGCTGCCAGCCAGGTCCGCGGGACCCCGAAAATTGCGCTCTTATCGTCCCCGACGGGTGATGCAGAGGACGTCGACATCGAAGTGCGCGCGTTTACCATGGGGAAGCCGCATGCGAGTCTGCAGCTGACGGGCGCGGTGTGTCTCGGAGCGGCGACCGTCATCCACGGCACCATTGCCTGGGATCTGGCCCATGCGAAGAAAAGCGATTGCATGCCAAAGCATGGCATGTCGATTGGAAACCACCAGGTTGCCAGCCCGCTGGCTGTGGGTATACGCCATCCAGCTGGTGTCATCCATGCCGAGACAGTTCTGAGAATGGACTTGACGGGCGAGGTTGATGTTGACCGGGTGGCAGTGTTTCGGACCGCACGACGGCTGTTCGAGGGTAATGTATTCTACAGAGCATGAGAGGGAACAACATAGAGAGGCATGGAGGTGCTAACGGCGCAACATTTAATGGAATTGGACAGACATGGTATAGTGTAATGTACAGTCAAGCAACATCACGCATTTAATCATCACTGAAAGCGTTATCTTGTGGAGATCCGTTGAATCCAAATAGCATGTCGTCAAGTCTTGGATAGGAGTAGTCCTCTTCATAGGGTACAACCGCTGGAGCCATGGGACCTTGGTTGGTGGAATGAGCCACTGTCGGTCCAAAAGGGAACTCCATGGGCTCAAACACCTGGCCTTCCGTAGGCCTAGGCTGTGTTCGAATGAAACTCTGAATGATCATGTCAATATCCAGTTCGGACGGTTCTATCTCTGGTGGCGAACCGTGACCGATGCCTGGCGTTGATAGCAAGGGTCGTCCGGCTGAGATCGCCAAATTATCGGATCGGTCTTCCACACTATGGAGATGGTCATCGGTGGCAACAGTAGAATCATCTAACCGAACCCCCATTCGGTCCATCAAATGCAGGATCACGTTTTGGGCCCGCCGTACCGCCCAGTTTGTCTCTTGGTTCTTCTTGAAGATGTCGAGGCAATTCTGGAGATTGGTGTGAGCGCGACTCGCGCCCTCCCGTTGGGCTGCAACTCGGACAAAGATCGTGGCGGCCACATATGTCGCGTAGGAGATGAGATATGGCGCTCGTCGGATGGAAAAGGTGTGGTCGTAGACTTGGAGCAGTTGGATAATGCTGGAAGCGGCCGCCGCACAGGTGGTAAAGGAACTCAGGGCCACTGATGGATCGGCCGTATGGAGATGTCCTTCGGACACAAACGGCCGGTGCAGCAGAATGACCAGGACATTGTAGAGGGCCAGTAGCGAGAGAACGTGCGGTGGTGGCACCACCCCCGTGGTGTCGGTGTAGCGCAAGTGGTCCGGGAGGGCGCCATACCAGGTCTTCAACTGCGCATCCAGACTGTTTAGAGTGGCAATGAGGTCATGAGACGACCGATTCGAGCTCCTCTCCGAGTATACCTTGTTCAAGATCTCATTCAAGATCAACGAGAGTTTACAGAGCTGAGCAAATGTCGATACGCTGTATGCCGGGGACCCAGGATATGACTTTACGTCGGAGTATGCAAATGGCTGCCAGGGCTCCAGCTCCTCGTAGTGGTCCAGGAAGGAAAGCAAAACCTTGGTATCAAAATGCTGGAGACTAGCGGGTCGTCCTTGGTATAGGGACTGGATCTTGTCCACCACGAAAGCCCCCCAGAATACGCGCCGCCGGATTTCCACATCCTCTTGTGAGAGGCGGCGCATGTTTGGGAGCATCGTGGCATCCACGTGCATTCCTAGGTCAATGATCATCCGGAAGGCTGTGCCCGCATATAGCCATGCCGCACTACGTTCATCGCCGAGAGCGAATAACGAACTTGTCATGACCAGAAGGGCCTGGATGGTGGTGATCTCACTACGGTCCAGGGCACTTCCAAGAAGCTCTTTCACTCTCATGCGAAAGGTCCATCCGGCCGTCCGGGCGTCGTTGGGGTCTTTGCGTACTTCGGGCCGATTGCTGAACTTTGACGCCCCAAAATAGATTGCGTTCAACAAGAGTTTGGAAAAGTAGGGGCCATTTGTGGCCATGTCCCGCATAAACGCCGGGCGATAGGTTATCAGGAAGGAGTGGTGTTGACGATTCCAGTGCAGGGACAAGAGATGCATGCCCAGCTCCGGATCTACGCCATCAAAGTCCAGCTTCCCTTGCTGAAAGTTCAACGTTTCCAGTTGGCCTATATCATGGTGAGATTGGTGTGACTGTGATGAATATCCTCAATGGATCATGACCCACGTTGATACGCCGCCTCTCCCATTAGTTGTTTTCGAATGGGCTCGACAGGAACGGCTGGATCAGCCAGTTGGGCGGAATCCTGCCGCCCCTCGAACAGGGTACTGGTAAGGCCATGGTAGCTGGAGTCTCCGCTGGCCGAAATGAAGATGCCCGATACCACGGACGGAGAATGACCGTTCTTGGCGCATTCCGACTGTTGCTGGAGATGTCCATCAGGGTGATCCGGCGGGTCCTGGCCCGTGTCTTCTTGCACAGGCCCGGCAATTCTCTCTCCGAGCTGCTGCCGGAGCCGTTCGTTTTCTGCCACTAAGCGAGCGATCCGGGCTTTGGATGGCCTAGAGGCTGGTCAGTGGAGTTCATTTAATGGGATGAGATGGAGCGCACCTCGGCCGTGGCGAATTGCTCATGTATACGCACTCCTTGCCATATCCCTGACAATTGGAGCACGTTGGCTTTTCATCACACCGCAACTATACGTCATGACATGAGTGGAAAGCCCGGTCAGTAGCGAGCAACCTGCTCACCTTTCTCCGGCGACAGAAGCTGCAGGCCTTGGCCGCTCTGCGCGTACGGGACGGCATTCTCTCTTCCATGGCTGAAGACGGGATGGGATGGTCCGGGGAGAGAATGGAGAGGGAGATCCATAAGTATCCTGATAGTTGACAGACAGACGGAACATTATGGGCCGCGGAAAGTCATTTTCCGTCGACCCACGGGCGAAGGATGGATGGACGATGTAAGCGAGTTCCATATGGGGTATGGACAGAAGGGTTCGCTTTTCTAGATGAAGTCATCGTTCGTATTCGTATTTTGTTGGGCATCTACCAACGACTTCACCTCTTCCTCTTTCTTCTCTCCTCTTTCATCAAATTCAAGCCATCCATCATGTTTCATTGATGATTGTGAAATTGAGGATATTCAGACAGCGACATCACTCTTGATATGGAGTGCACGTGGCAGTTTTACTGTACCCCAGATCACGTGACATTAACAGGGTGACTTCCCCCACTCACCTAATAACTCCATCCATCGCAAACATAATCCCCATCAGACGTCTTGAGACCTCTTGGTCTGTGTTCAGTCTCTATGTCGGATCAGAATGGTCCTCCATGCCATCCTTTCCATATACCCCTTTGTTGGATCTTTCCAACCCGATCAATGACAATGTCTGGCGCCGGTACTCCACCCTTCTGGCGATCAAGATTCTTAACCATATTCGACCATGCCGTGGATGTGTCTTCATACTCACCAACACACTATGTGTGAAGTACGGCAGTCATGTGCATTTATCTGAAGCCTCAACGATGCGTTTCCTCACGCAGCATACGTCAATTCCGGTCCCTGAGGTGTACTGTGGATTCACTTATTCGGACATACATCGTGATGGAAAGGATCAAGGGGGGCATGATTACTAACGGCTGGGTACGCCGATTTGAGGAGTCCAAGATCAGACTTCTGTCACAGTTGCGAAGCATGATCGCCGAGATGCGGACGCTTCAGCCGCCCGAGGGCACCAAGATTGCTTCTGTCGGTGGCAGATCGTTATTTGACTGTCGCATACCCGGGTCTACCTTATACTTCGGTCCATTTGAGACCGCTCAGGACCTTCCATCGACATTTACGGGGGGGAATGGAGTTTGATCCTCGTCTCGACCCGCCACTGCAAACCCTGATTGAACAGCAAAGCGAGGGTTGGCCTTTGAAGTTTACTCACGGCGATTTAAGGAGCTTGAATATTCTTGCTTGTGGAGATAGTATCGTGGGGATTGTCGATTGGGAAACCGCGGGATGGTATCCCTTCATACTGGGAAGACACCTCTGCCTACCAAGTGAACCCCCAAAACTCCTTTCGGATCCGTGAGATCGACAAGTTCCTGCAACCAATGCCGGCTGAGCTCGCAATGGAACGCCTTCGCCGGGAATATTTTGGGGACTACTGAGTAACCCTACTCAGATGCCTCAAACAATGGTCTCCTTGCGCTCCATCAGGTCGTATGTGGGAACCTTGTCTTTATCAAACTGGCCTTGGCCATCAAACCGGTACTGGTCTTTCTTCCGTTGGCAGTACTCCATCACAGTGCTGCGAACCTTGTCCCATTCAACGACGCTCGTCCCTAAGGCATTCGTGTCCGTCTTCAGTGCCTCTAGGGCCTCTTTCACCCAGGAAGCACAGTTCCATCCCGGCTCACCTTGTCGGATAGGCGTATTTCGCAGGACTTAACCAAGCGATTCCTATTTGTTACTTTGCCAACCATGATGCGAACCAGTATCATGCTAGAAGGAAGAAGCCGAGACGAGCGCTCTTCGAAGAGCCAAGTAGATCCGCCTTCCGGTCGAGGCCACTCCTTCGCGTGGTATCGGACGCCCGTACTGCCGTCGGTTTCGATTTTGAGCCCAACAATCAAGGCCCAGTGGTACCTTGGTGATGGGACATTAGCCTCTCGGCGATGACGGTGATGGTGCAATAGAGCAGCTCCCCTATGGTTGACTTACGTGTCTTCCTTGCCTGGCATGGTAGGTCTGCTCGCACGTGCGTAGAGGGCAACATACAGACGATCCTTGTTTGACGGCATTGTCGGGCTGATACTGAGATCCAGGTAGCTAGTACTGACGCCAGACAGGTGGGGGAATGCCGTCTCAAAAGATACTTGAGAAGTTTCTCTGGACTAATACTGGTGGGTCCTCTGGAGGGCTTTATACCTACCTGCGACTATTTGCCAGGAGTCGTAGCCGCTCTGCGGTCTAATAGATCATTATCCGAATCGCCTTGCGCCTCGTCTCGCAATATATGTTGTCCCTAAGGAAAACGCCTAACCCGAGGGCGCGTAATGGGTGCATCTAATTCGGACCGGTGAAGACATAGTTTCTGTCAAAGAGTCGCTCACTTCTTCCTTGGAACCAACAACCTGTGCCTAAAGTATTTGGGGGATAATGTGTCGATATACATACGGCCAAGTCGATCTTAACTGACATCTCCACCCGGCGTTTATACTTCCCTATTACAGACATGCCACGCCACACTCCTCAACCAGGCATCTCCAGCATCCTGCAGCTGCCATGATCAATTCTGATCATGCACTCCACGGCGTTCTACCGGTGTTTGACCCGTCAGCCTCTGTCAGGTCCTGCCACCAGTGCCCCTCGGCTGACCTACCCGCCTCACTCGGTGGATATTGACCCGGGGGGTTCTCCGACATCCCCACACATCGAGCATCTGCATCCTGAAGCCGAATGAAAACCAGACCCAGAGCCTTTATGCAGTCGGAGAATTGCCCCATAGGTTCAGAGCCTCGGGGATCTCTGCGAGCTCGCCTTATAAATGCCTCCGATGCCCCTCCTCGGCCCTCCTCGGTCCTCTGGACCCAGATCCAGCGCGAATCGACGCCAACATCAATAAAATAAACGATAATAATAGAAAAATGACCCTCGCCGAATCTCACTACATCATTAAACTCCCCCAAACCCCCTCCGCAACCTGGACCGTCGAGCCCCGCGCCATCGCCCAGCAATGGCTCACAGCTCTCGACACGCTGCTCGCCCGCGCCGACTTCGACCAGCTGCCGCAACTCTTCCACGATGACTCCTGGTGGCGCGACATGCTCGCCCTCGACTGGGACCTGCGCACCGTGCGCGCCGCTCCCGCCATCGTCGACTTCCTACGACGCACGCAGCGCCACGCCGAGCTGGCAGCCCTGCGCCTCCAACACCAGGGCCGCTTCCAGCCACGGCTGGAGACCCCCGCCCCCGGGCTCACCTGGGTGTCGTCCATGTTCTTTTTCGAGACGCGCGTCGGCCGCGGCACCGGCGTGCTGCGTCTGACGCAGGACGGTGCCGGTGCCTGGAAGGCGTATGCGGTGTACACAGCATTGCAGGAGCTCAAGGGGCGAGAGGAGCCGCTGGGGCCGCGGCGTGCCCAGGGCACGATCGAGTCAATGCCTGGCGGGCTAACAAAGGGCAATTGGCTGGAGCGGCGGAAGCGACAGTTCGAGTTTGTGGATGAGGAGCCGACAACATTGGTTGTCGGAGCCGGTATGCTTCCCTTCTTTCCTGGGATGTCGGTAGCTCAAAGAAGAGGTACTAATCGTGATGGATGACAGGCCAGGCCGGTCTGAACATGGGCGCCCGGCTACAATCGCTCGGCGTGTCCTGTCTCGTTGTCGACCGCAACAAGCGCATCGGCGACAACTGGCGCAACCGCTACCGAGTGCGTACCTTTCCTCGTCTGCCCTTCCCTTGAGAACAAAGGAATACTGACATCGCAGACGCTGGTCACGCACGACCCCGCCGAGTTCACCCACATGGCATACCTCCCCTTCCCTAAGAACTGGCCGCAGTTCACGCCCAAGGACAAGCTGGCCGACTGGTTCGAAGCCTATGCGCAGATCATGGAGCTCAACGTCTGGCTGCAGACGACCGTGACCGGCGCCGTCTACGACGACGCAACCGCCCAGTGGACCGTGACCGTGTCTCGCGCCGACGGCTCCCAGCGCACGCTGCGCCCGCGCCATCTCGTCTGGTGCACCGGGCACTCGGGTGAGCCGCGCATCCCCTCGTTCCCGGGGCAAACCGACTTCCGCGGCCGCGTCTACCACGGCAGCCAGCACCGCGACGCAGCCGAGGAGGACGTGCGCGGGAAGAAGGTCGTGGTGGTGGGCACAGGCAACAGCGGACACGACATTGCGCAGAACTTCTACGAGAACGGCGCCGAGGTGACCATGCTCCAGCGGAGCGGGACGTACGTGATCACCGCCGACAAGGGAGTGTTTATGATGCACGAGGGGCTCCACGATGAATACGGGTGTGTTCTCTGCCCCCTGGAACCTACAATATAAGGATATTGACAAGTGTAGTCCCCCGACTGAAGAAGCCGACATCATCGCCGAGAGTCTCCCCTACCCCGTGCAATTCGCGCTGAACGTGCACTTCACCAAGAAGGTCGCCGCCGCCGAGAAAGACATCCTGGACGGCCTGCAGCGCGCCGGGTTCGAACTGGACTTTGGCGTGGACGGCGCGGGCATCTCGCGCGCGTATATGACCCGCGGCGGTGGATACTATATCGATGTCGGGTGCAGCCCGCTCATCGCCGACGGCAAGATAAAGGTGAAGCGGAGCCCCGAGGGCATTGCCGGATTCAACGAGCGCAGTCTGCTCCTGAAGGATGGCAGTTCGCTAGACGCCGATATCGTTGTGTTGGCTACTGGCTACGACAACATGCGTACTACGGTGCGAAAGGTCCTGGGCGATCGTGTTGCGGATCGCTGTAAGGATGTGTGGGATCTCGATGAGGAGGGAGAAGTGAATGCCGTGAGTGACCCCTCTGTCTATATGATGAGACGGTACTGACCGACGATGAGATGTGGCGTCCGAGCGGTCATCCGGGCTTCTGGTTCATGGGCGGCAACCTGGCCCTCTGTCGCATCTACTCCAAGTTCCTGGCGCTTCAGATCAAGGCCATTGAGGCTGGCTTGACTTCTCAGCAAGCCCAGTCCAAGCTGTAGGACACGGCACAGAGAAGATAAGGGCAGGCATAACATAATTTAGATCATGACAATACGTTAGAATAGTAAATATTAGTTTCCATTTGTGACTCAAGCTGCCATGAATTTCACACACCAAGTAAGCTAGTAATAATCAGTTCATATAAACACTAAAGTAACAATAACACCCTAAACCTCAACGCCCTTCGCCTGTGGTCCACATGCATTGCACATATACAGTCAAAAGCAAATACACATCACAATAATCCATCGTCATTCAGATAACCAAAACGTCGTCATCGTCTATTTTTTTTTAAGAGGTCAAATTCCCCCAGTGGCACCATCATCGATGATCATCTCCACATCTTTGACAGGATGAAGAAGCATCGGAGGGAGGCACATTCGTCCCTCTCCTGCCAGTTCTTCTTGCTCACCGCCGTCATTGTCGACTTTGTAGCCCAGCCAGCGTCGCCAGAGGTTGGGCGAGAATCCCGCCGAGTAGAACCAGGTGGTGCCTCGAAAGTTGTGTTCTCGGTCACCAAAGATCGAAGTACGAGCACCGCCAGAGGCCCCATTCCGCCCGGCGTTGAACACGGACTCGAGATACTTGGTAGGCCATCGGCGGTCGATATACACCGAGTGCGGGACGTAGACGGCTTTGAACCCGTGATGGAGCGCAGTCGTCGCCGGCCACATTTCAGAGAACATGCTGTGCCGCTTTAAGCTCGTCTCGCGATGCATCGTATGCAGGAGTTTATGGGAGAGCCGGGAGGCGGTGATGATAGCGGTGCGGCGCGGAGGGAGTCCGTTCTCCCGGTTATAGCCAGTAACATCATCACGCAGAAGCCAGGTCGTGCCCTCTGGGTCATAAAGAGGGTTGAATACGATCAGATCCGCATCCTCGCCGACACCCCATTGATATTTATCCTTTTCCATCGTGGTCGGCGGGATGCCTTCTCCTTCTACCTCGAAGATGTCGCGCTCATTGGGGCGCTCTGGACCCCATACTGGCTGGTCGCCCTTTTGAAGTTGAGCTGCCGAGGCCTTTTCGCTTGAGGACAGTTCAGGGCGAGGCTTGTTGGCGCTCCAGAGGTTGTTCGGGCTGTTCGTCCCGATCTCCGTCTGCACACGCACCATCTGCCGGAAGTCTTCCCATGAACCATGCACCGACGGTACATAAAACCGGGCATTGCGCTCCCAGAGCCCTTTGCGCGGCTGCTCACGCGCCCAGCTGACCACCTTGTCGAAGAGATGGTACCAGTGACCAGTGTAGCGGGCATCCATCTCCCAGTTCCAGTAGTAATCGTACTCCGGATGCTGGTACGCAAAGTACTGCATCGGCATGTAAGTACTGCGATAGACGCCGTGGATCGGAAGACCCCGCGTCATTGTCTCCTCCAGGCCAGGATACATGAGGGACATTTGGCGTTCCGTCCAGAGAGTGGCCATACCGCGGAATTCGGCTGGAAGAGCATCTTTGAGAACTCGCTCGTATGTCTCGTCATCAGACCAAATCTGGAGATTTTCATCTTTGACGTGGACGAGGAAATGGACAACGTATTCGCCTCCTGAAAGCAGCGACAGCTCTGAAATCAATGCGCGCAGGTACAGGATATCCTCAGGAGTGTATCTAAAGTCATGCCAAGTCCGGATCACAAACGCGGTGCGCGGCAAACGTTCTGTACCGGTCCGTCTCTGTTCTTCTTCGTCTTGTGGTCGTTGGTGGGGCTTGCTATTCGACTCTGGCAGACCGACTGGCATGGATAGATAACGGTTAGAACGGGGATCTGGGAGGTCATCGAAGCGGTGGCTGTTCAACGCGACGCATCTGTTTTGGGCTGCGGCCCAGTCAACCTTGCGGAAATCAACCGGCGGGTAATCGTCCCAAACTCGTTCTGCCCCCTCGCGGTGGCCCTCCAGACCAGCACCAATGCCGCCTTTCCTAGCCGTATAACCGAGGCCGTAGGGGCCCAGGCGACCAAAGCGATCGAAACATACATCGTCCTTGATGCCGAGCATCTCATTCGAACCCATTACCGCGTCGGGAAAGCCGCGGGGCACCCCCGCATAGTGGTGGACTTGCGGAATCCGTATCGTCTCGTCCTCGTCAAGGAAACAATCGCGCTTCTCACCATACTTCTCGATATACTCTGCGGAAGCGTAATCGGGGTAAGGATTGAAAGCGGAACTTGTGAACGAGAGTGCCTCCGCGCGGGATTGGAGGCCGCTCGTGTTCGCATTAAGAGTATCATCAACCATGCCGTCGAGGTCATCGCCGGGGTATTCGGGCACCTGGTCTTTCCGCGGTACTAACGATCGGAGGCCGCCGTGGTATCGCGTCAGGAACGGAAAGCTTTCCCACTGATGCGGCTTCGGAGGTTGGTTTGGCACTTCCAGGTCGACATGCTTGACCGAGGACATGAAAGTAAACCGGAAGAGGGTGCAGATAAATAGAACGAGTGAGAAGAACAGCGACAAGCAGAGCCATCGCATAATTCGGTTGGGGATGCGATAGAATCCAGGGCCAGCCCGGGGGCGGCGCATGGTCGCACCGCCCAGCATCGGTTGGTAGGAAGCCGCAGAAGACGTCACGGAGTCGCTGCAACTATCAGAGGCAAAAGAGCTGTGGCTCGGTTGTCGGTAGTGATGTCGGTACGGAGAAGATTGCTTCTCGACGTCGACTGCGATATCGTACCCATCGTGCGTAGGGGTATGTCGCCCCGTCCGAGTGGTCATGGTTCGTGGACGGAAGAGGGGTGCATGGAAGAGGAAAGGGTAGAGATAAGTCACACGCTGAGGTCAGTAGGCCAATCGTGAAGATGTTCGATCAGCTGAACAAGCGCTCTTCAAGGGATAGAATGCTTCGGCCGATCTATACAGCATTGAGTCAACAAATGTTCGAGGGATGAACTGGAGAGCTGAGTTACCTGAGAAAGACCTCGAGCGTTCAATATCTCATTCGGACAGGCAGACTGGCATGCGACAATGCATGGGCTGTGTGGGACACTTCGTCAGAACTATATATGGAGAACGGGTGGTATGTGGTATGTAGGTATGTTTCGGAAGTCTGGAGGAAGCAATTGTGGTGGAGACGACGACCCGAGATTCAAGATGGAATCCTCGACCGAGGTCAATGATGGGAGTGTTCGACACCAGGGACTGTCGTAATTGGAATGGGTATATAGAGAACACAGGGCCATGGCGGAGGGCGTCAACAAACTCGACTGCCGCGTTGCCCAAGGGATATCCAGCGCTTACGCACACTAACCGGGCCAGGCCGTCTTGGCAGATGCAAACGGGGATGGAAGCCCGCGTGCAGGGCGATAAATGAAGGTATGTGGTGGATATAACCTGGATGGAGTGATATGGAGTGGCATGTGTCTGAGAGAGGGAGAGATTTTCTCTTTTGAACAATTTCTCGCGAGTGAAGAGGGCTTTTCGCGTGCCTTCCTGTTCCGGGACTGAGGATGCTTTCCGCATGCGGTAGCTCTCCCAATCGGTATTAGTGCGTGTCGCTGGTCAACTATTCCATTTTGGGAGTAGCCCATCTATCACGTTGCACGAGCCGACTAGGTGCCTAGTACTATAGTAGTCTATCGGTAGATCGCATCTCCTCGTTCCTCTCATTGATGTGATGCATCTTGTCTTGTTCCATCATCTCCCTCGTGTGCCCTTTGGACTCTTGTTGTTGTGTTACAACCCTCATGGAGCGTCCTCGGCATCCTCTCAACAACCCATTCACACCCTCGAACAACAGGAAGTATGAGCCGGAACTCACAACCGCGGGGACAGCACTCGATCCCAGATACACAAAAACAAGCCAGGAGCTCATCGCAATGACCATAGAAAGTCTCGTGGTGAAATGGAAACCTCGAACCGCTCGAGCGGCTCAGCGGGCCGCTTGACATCAGACTGACGAACATCACGAGGACAGGATCCTGTGTAACGAAATGCAATCGTCAGCATACGTACTTCAACGTTCGATCGGTCAGATCTCCTATTTTCACGATCGATCTCTAATCTACACCCAATACATCCACAATGGTAAGTAAGGGCCTCCCGCCCCTGGATCAAAACAACCGTGCTAAGCGCCCTAGAACACCCATTCCAAGCCACCCCCCATCCTCGACCCGACCCTCACCCCGCCATACATCACCCTCATCCTTCTCCTGCCGCCGCTCTACCTCCTTCTCCAGCGCATCCGCAAAGACTACCACGCCTTCCTTGCCCTCGGACCCGGAGGCACGCCCGCCACGCCCACAGGTTACCTCCGCATCTGCATCCTGCGACTCTTCGCGCTGCGCAACCCACTCACGCCGCCGCCGCTCCCACGCCTCTCCGCAGGCTGTCTCCATGCAGATACCCTCCCGCGACGTCGCGGACCTCGGCCCACCGTCGCGGGGATCGCCCCGCACCGCCAGACCACGCAAAAGGGCAGTCGCGCCATGTACCAGGCCCTGACGGCGGCCATGCATGATCTCACGCGGCGGCACCCTGACCTCCTCTACTCCGACACGTCGTGCTTCGAGAAACACAGCACCGGCATCTTCTCGCGCCGCGTGGCCGCCTCCACCCCCCGCGCGACGGCGGCGGGAGTCCACCACCGCACCTGCAACGGCGAGGTGTGTCACAGCCATCCCAGCGACGGCAGTCTGCACCTCACGCTGCATCCGGCGGATGTGGCGCTGCTGCTGGAGCGGGGATGGGGTCAGCGGCATCCGTTGGCGCGGGAGGACTGGTGGTGGGGGGTGGTGCGAACCGTGCCCCCGGGATTCGTTATGGTGTATGCGCCGCGCGATGCCGAGGAGCTGGCCTGCGTGATGGAGATTGTGCGCGCGGCGGTGTGGTGGGTGAGCGATCAGGAGTTAGCATCGGGGGAGTCCATGCCAGGAGTGGGAGTGGGAGGGAGTGGAAAGTAGGGGTTGTGGAGAGGTCAGGATTGACTACATGCTCTACATACTCAACACCACAATGCATCAGATACATGGGCACCCGTTCGTGGTTCGTAAATATCAAGTCTTGACGGTAACAAACAGCAGATGGAAAAGGCACAAGCAGAGAAACGCACACAATGAGAGGTTTTTAAGGCACAAGGAGGATTCGTTGGGATCGACGCCGGGATGAAAGGAAAAAATAAGAAAAGCTAATATCATATAGAGGAATGAAGAGCCGTTAGAGAACATACAAGCACGACCAAAGTAACAGATCCCTTCCCTGTGCGCGGTTGTGTCTGTGCCGGCCCGGTTCCCCATCCATCATCCCCAACTCCCAGTTCACACGTCCAAATAGTATCTTCCACTCATTGCATTAGTTTAGTCCCGGTTGGCTTTCCGCAGGGCATCGGCGAGCCACTCGAGACCCTCGTACAGGCCATCACCAGTGGTGGCGCAGGTCGACTGGATGTACTGTGGGTGGAGACATATAAGTGTCGATTCCGGTTGGAGTCAAGGGGGAGAAACTTACCCAAGGACGGCGGGTGAGACTTTGCAGACCGAGCTGCTGGGTGATCTCGGCGGGGCTCATGGCGTTCTGGATCCATCAGTATTCATATCCACATCGCATCAGCACAGGGTCAAGGGCGTACCGGCAGATCCTGCTTGTTGGCGAAAACCAGGAGGAGAGCGTCGCGGAGTTCATCTTCGTTCAGCATGCGCTGCAATTCTTCGCGCGCCTCGACGATACGGTCACGATCGTTGCTGTCGACGACGAAAATGATACCCTGGGTGTTCTGGAAGTAGTGTCTCCAGAGAGGACGGATCTTGTCCTGTCCACCGACATCCCACACGGTAAACTGAATGTTCTTGTACTCGACAGTCTCGACGTTGAAACCTGTTCCGAAAGACCAAGGTCAGCGAGCGGTCACGGCGGGTGGTGTTGACGATGCGATCCAGTGATTCCACGAGCGAGGGTTTCCGACGATGATGGAGCGACGATGACCCCGGGAGGGAGGGATGGAGACTGACCGATTGTGGGGATGGTGGTGACGATTTCACCCAGCTTCAGCTTGTACAGAATGGTGGTCTTTCCGGCGGCGTCGAGACCGACCATGAGAATTCGCATCTCCTTTCTGCCCCATAGGCGGTCGAAGATCTTGGAAAAGGAGAGACCCATGTTGACGGTGGCGAATGCGAGTCGTTCGGGATCTGTTGGGCAGAACGCGATGTCAGACGGGGAGATTCGGCGAGAAACCAGTGACGGATGGATCGATTGATTGATTGATCGGAGGGGAAATTTTCGGAAAATCCAAGGAAAGGAGAATGAGAGAAGAAGGGAGAGGCGGGAGGAGGAAGAAGGGAGTGGTCAGGTCGACGAGGGGAGGGCAGAAACCAGATCACGTCGGAGGTGGAAATAATGTGGGAAGACGCAATCAGGGGGGGGAGGACGGCGACCGGACAGGGGAAAACGAAGACAAAGGAATTATGCGGAAGAGGGAGAGGATGGGAAGGGAGATAGTCGGGGGAGAAGGAGGACTTACCACAGGTGCGATGAGGGGATTGACGATGAGAGGAGGAAGGGGAGGAAAAAGGAAGAAACAGTGTCCAGATGAGTTAGTGGTAGTAGGTCGGCGGTGATGGCAAGTCAGTCAGATAGGGAAGAGAGAGAGACAAGAGAGAGAAGAGGCAGAAGAGACAAAAAGGGTTGGTATGGTAAAGTCTCGTACGGTAACTATCCTGGGTATCGATGTGGAATGCCAGCACACGCAACCAGCAGTCAACTTCACTTGTTCGATTATCAGTTCCTAAAATTCATAGAAGTTTATCTCTCTACATATAATCGTTCCTCTCGACAAGACAAGTGTCCCTTCTCTCAGGCAACGTCGTTTCTCTCCTGGATCATCGGGATGAGGTCGAGAAGAGGACACGGTGTTTCCGTTTCTATTGGCGGTTCCGCTGACTCAGCCACAGGTACATGGCGAATGTATGGCTCCACTGCCGCAATCGAGGTACCTCTTGAGGTGCCTGGCTGGTATTCCGTTACTGTACCATACCAAACACTCTGTATATGGTATCGAAAGGGTCCAGTGGATCATGGACGGTCTCGTGCTCCCGAATATTTCCTCCTTCCAACTGGCCGGGTGGTCCTAACGCTCGTCACCGAACCCACCGGGACCACACCCCCTACGCGTCATGTCGGTGCTGGGTCCATAGGTATGGACTCTTTAATTATTCTATTTAGACCGTCTTATATCGGTTCCTGTCAAAGCTGGAGAAGTACGAAGTAGGAGTTTGCAGGGTGAGGCTCTAGATAGGGCTAACCCTGGCAGCCCTTTTGCCTAGTCTCCTTCAGGAAGCATCCAGCCTCGGGCAACCCTTTAAGTATATACATCCAGTCCATCACCTCGGATCAAGACATACTCCGTATATTTTAGGAACCACCTCCATCATCCACCTTCCACTCGATCCGCTGAATCGATCCTTCGTTCTATCTCGAAGTAGAAACGAGGCCATGCGCCGTGACTACGCAACAAGGCCTTGCACCGTGACTATGTAACAAGCCCTCAATTTCTTGACGACCTTTGAGTGAGGCGTGCCAGAGCGGTGATTTTCCCGCATGGTCTTCAGAGTTGGCGTCGGCGCCGTATTCCAGAAGAAGTCGGCAAAGCACTTCATTACCGGCAGCTACCGCATGCATGAGCGGCGTCATCCCTTGGTCGTCAGTGAGATTCGCCGGGACGCCACGATCAAGGAGAGCTTGACACAGTTTTCCTGGGCGGCCATGTTGGACCGCATAAAACAATAGCCTTTGGTATCGATGATCCGCAATATCGAGCGCCGAGCCATTTTCTATCAGACAGAGACAGACAGTCGCGTGGTTATTGTCGACGGCATGAAGCAGCGGTGTTTTATTCTCGTGATCTTCATGGTCGATATCAGCGCCGTGAGAAAGGAGAAGCTTGCACACATCGTCTTTCCCTAGAGCCGCGGCCCAGGTCAGTGGTGTCCATCCGCGCTCGTCCTCCACATCAACTTTCATATCCGCACGCTTCAGGAGCATTTCAACGATATTGGCTCTCCCATACTCTGCTGCGTGCGACAACAACGTGCGGCCCCTGCCGTCGGCAATATGGTTTCGAAAGCCATCTTGTGATAAGTACATTCTAAGGATAGTCTCATTGCCGATCCGCACCGCTTGATGGAATGGAGTGAGCCCGTGATGGTTTGTCGGGAAGGCATCAATGTCGCTTCGGCTCAACAAGAGCCAAACAATATCAAGATGGTTATGCTCTACAGCCTTCCAAAGGGCCGTTTGGGATAGTTCGTCTGTTGAATTAACATTGACATGTTTCTGCGCAAGGAGGAACCAGACGGCAGGCGCATTGCCGAATGACACTGCGTGCCATAGAAGCGTACGCCCATGAATATCTTGTTTGTTGACCTTTGGGTCGACGTGTCGCCGTAGATCCCTCCATCTTCCTGGGTCGTCCCTCCCAGCTGCTCTAAGTACCGCATCCAGTGCGTCACCGTCTTCCGCACGATAATAATCGACTGTATGTCCCTGGGCAGACATCAAGGCCCAGGAAAACACTTCCGAGTCTACCCCCCGATCAGGTGGCTCTGGCAGGGAAGAGCTTGAGCTCGTTGATCGCCGCTGCTGAACTCGAATATGTCGCATAGGAAACTGCGCTGGCTGGAACCGTGTTAGATAAATCAGCTCTACTCGATCACACCAGACGCGCTCAAACAGCTCCATCGTAAGGTGAATATCGCGAAGATAGACCGCGAGGAAGCAGGTTTCCTTCCCACGTCTGGAAGCTGACAGGATAGCCCATCCAAGACCATTTCGACCAACCGGAAGAAAAGGAAGCTGCAGCTGGATCCCCTTATTCCCAACCGTCCATGGGATATTCGAGGTGACAAAGGGACTCTCGGACACGACCACATCAGTACACCCCTCGAATGCGTCGGCCGAGGGGGCTAACAGCCCGCTAGATGGGATCGGCGACTGCCACGCAAAGAGACTCATGTCGTCGGACACCCGCATGATTTCTTCTTGGAGTCGATAAAACGCCTTCTGGCCTTCTCCATATACCAGAGGGATACTGATTCTAAAGAGGCCCAGGAGACAGTACGCACGATCTTCCACGCGAGTCGTTCGTCGTCCCGCGGCCCAGGACATTCTCTGGGCAACACTCATAGTCTCCAGATCGTCGTCCCCAGAAAGGATGCCCTCCGGAATCCCAGTGCGCTCGGATATGGCGCTCCGCAGGCCTTCCTTCGTCCCAAGCACTTCCCAGCGCGCATCCAGGAATACCACCGTAGACGGCGCGACCAGTTCCTGCAGCGTCCACCCGCGCGTAAACCACCTGCTCGTCGGAACGTCGCTGGGAGACCACGCATCAGCCAGCCACGCATAGCAGGTCTCCGCCTGCTGGTACCATCGGTACATGGAGTTGATTGCTTCGGACAGCTCGGCACTGCTGGTCTTGTCGATGCAGCAGGTGTCCATCCAGAGCCAGTCGTATCCAGATTGTCGAGCAAGGCCACAAGCGCGACGGAGTTTTGTATATCCTGTTTTGTTGACTAGGGTTTCATAGTGGGGTGTCTCAACTTCTAGGTCCCTCAATGTGATTTCCTCCTTGTCCCATGTGTGCGATAAAATGGCGTATGGCGGGATCTCATCATCGGTGAACTCGATGACCTTGAACGGGGCGGATGGCGGCTCTGTCGTATGTAGCAGACGCATATCCTGGTTGGAAATGGCTCTTTGCCTAGTGAGCTGGGGGATTGGGAGAAGGAAAATTCCCTCTCTGTCGAGGGCTATGCTTCCAGCCTCGTGTCTCCAGCGAGGCTGAGTGACGCCCTGCGGGGTATATCAGTGATGCCTGCTCAGAGCCGATTGCCATAGTCACTGCGCACTAGTTATGCCTTCACAGCCTCTGATTGTGGCCACGTGATCGAGGCTATATAAAGCACTTGTTTGCTTCGCTGAGCTTCAGAGAATTCTACCACCTCCAAAGCACGCGAAGGCTTCCCACAAAAAGCAGTTGGTCCCCAATCATCACTACCTCCACAGGGACCTACAATGGCCTAGAGAAGGCTTGCCACTAACTGGGAATCAAGATTCGCAGGAAGTAACCTTGGGCGTTTTTCCGGACCTTCACAACACGATTTGTCAATTGGCTTCGCGTCTAACAACTGGTTACGATGTCCACCTACAACGGCTTCCGTACCTATTCATTATTTATCATAGGTCATGGAGGCTCATAGAAGCCTGCCCAAATGTTGATAGAATTGGTTGATCCTCATATGAGGACACTTGATGAGTAAGTTAGACTGCTATTCTTAGTTTGAAAATCATGGTTTCTGACATCTTCAAAGTCTCTTTAGTATCCAGTCAGAGCCCAAATGGAGGCTACGTGGACATCGTCACAGACTCAAGAAACAGCGAAGTCTGGCGTGCCTATCCCGGTCAGTCTAAGCCTCCACCAGGCTGCATTCAAACCCACAATCGGGCACTCTTGCGCAGGTCTACGAGCACACTGCACTATTATGTCATTGCTCAGGGACAAGGCCATCGAGCCGCAAACTGACTCAAGCGCTGGAAAGTGCCAAAGAGTACCGAACTATCAAATAGGTCTCGAGCTGTGGCCTTGAACATATTATATATCGCAATGTGTCGAGCATTCCACACACTTCCAGGAGACACTTTGGAAGATATCCTTGATGCAGAACCACCAAACTCGAGCAACACAAGGATATCTATTCCGTGCCAATTTCACGGTAGTGGCTGGTGACGAAATCTCTAACCAGGGGCGGCGAACCCCATGCAGAGAGATTTGACGAAATGACGCAGTCCCTCCGGTCAACCCAAAAGAGTGAGACTGAGACATTGATCCGGTTGAACCTCAATTATCCAAAACAGCGGGTTACGGGTGGTCCTTATGTGTAGACCTGCTGTGCAGAAACTTGTTATTCACAGAATGCGAGGAGACACACCTCAAGCTAGAAGCTTGGGAGTTTCCATGCTTCTTGACACCGAACGAAGCGATCAAACGGGTATATGTTCGAATACAGCCAAACTGCGTCCATGGCCATGTATTACACCTTACGTACCACTACAAATCCCCAAACCGATGGGGTGCATTCCTAAATAGAAACTGACGAAAATCCACAAAATATCCGAGGATCTTCATTCACATCAGCTATCATTGACACCGTCGATATTTGCCCCTACATGGAAGGTCCTCTGGGAGCAGGATCTTGTTAGGTTAGATTTGATCATCTAATGTCAATGTGCCAGTTAGATAAGTACCAGTAGAAGTACCCCAAAACTCGTAGGCACCCGAATATCTGAGATATGGTGGCTTAATAAAAAGGCAAATCTTCTCAAGAAGCAATCGTATACTACCTAGCTTGGCAGGGGTGTGGTTATGGCTATATTTGCTTCCCATGACTAACTGAATGAAAGTCTTCGACTGTTCGGCATACCTATAGATCATTGTCTCGAGAAAATACAACCGTATTCAAATCCCCGTTGTACCTTCGATTCGAATATGTCACTCGGCAGCTCCCGCCTTATCCCCTCGACGGGACGAGATCCTCTCCCTAGAGGAACGAAAAAACGACCGGAACAGGGACTGGTAGATGGTTTTGCCTTCGACCGTGTCACTGAGGTACCCGAATAAGCCGAGTAGCACCATTGACAAGAACAAGATCACCGCAAAAGCCACCCAGTACTGTGTCGGCGTATACCCTCCCTTGACGCCCTCGAGCTCGGTTGAGAAGTACCCCGTCATCAGACTCACTGGCAAGAACAGGATGGTCGCCTTGGCCAGCAAGATCGTGATCCTCGTGAGCTTCTCGACAGCCTGGGAGTCCTTTAAGGCGATCAGGTTGAAGTTCTGCCCTGCTTGTCAGCAACATGTTGTAAGATCTCGCCTTGAAAATAACGATAAGTATCATACCAAAAAAGTGAGGGACTCCTTCTCAGTCAGACAGGTGTCGATCTCAGACAGGCAATAAAGCTTGATCCGATCCAGCAGTCTTTCGAAACGTGCCACAGCAGCTGAGCTCAGCTGGACCCCGACTGGGTTATCTGGGAGGCTCGAGAAGGAGAAATTGTTTTGCAAGGCTGCCTGGCGGGGATCCACTATCTCACTTTCGCCAAATACGGGCCCAAGGGCCATTGGAGGGCGACTCGAGCGCGCCTCATCACGGAGGAGTCGTTGTCTCTGTAGAATGCGCGTCATGATCAGCTCATAGCTGGAATAAAGCCTTCTAAGAACCGCGAGCTGCCGGCCAAGCCCATGGAGTTCATTAACCAGGTCCACGGCTGGTCTTGTCAACATATCCGTTCTCTGCAATGAGTTAGTATACTGCTATGTAGAATAGACTCCCAGCTTACCAATTTGTCCAGTATAACCCCGTACTTGTGCTCCCGCTTAGCGACCAAAGCATAACTCGAAACCCAGTCGTCAAAGATGTAGTAGAACAGCAAGCTAGGGCCGTCGTCCTGTTTGATGCTGGCATGATCGCCGTCCCCGCCGTGGAAAGGTCGCACGCGAATCGTAATCAACGAGTCGCTCGCAGAGGAAGCAAAATGCTGTTTAGACACTCCAGAGAATATGAATTGAATGTTCCTACGGACAATGCCCAGGACCGCCTTCAGCTCCTTCTCATTCGGCCTGGAGAGTCCGGGGTAGGGATTTTCTTGCATGGAGATCACGGTTCCTGCAAAATTAGAATGCGCAAAATCAGCTGGTGCATCTGATCCTACCATCGTCACATAGAATCAGCCACGACCATAATCGGATACCATCGGGCAAGTGCTTTCCGTTCGACACGTTGACATTTGGTACGACATGTAGCGAGTTATATCCGGTACAGGTATCTACTGTTGGTTAGTATAGTCGATATGGGGCAAAAGGCATGGTGGAAGTACATCTTGGGCCGTAATCCACGGAACAGAAGTGCCAGATTTGATTCGTTACATGAGCAAACGTAAGTCCCCTAAATGATGCCGCTACTTGCATCTCACTTGGGTCGGATAGGTCTTTCAGCCCATATGCTTCTTCGAGATCGTGGACTCCCGGAGATTTTGGTGTCGGATTGAGATTGCTGGTGTGAGTGGCGTTTCTCATCGGGGGTTCAGGTGCAGGAGGGTTTAAAGAGGGTTGTACGGGGTCTGTACACATCATGCCCTGTAGGCGTTCAGAGACCCCATAATGGCGAGTCAGGACCTTGATATAAATATTAGCTTGAGTCTGGTCGGATGAGGATACGCGAACACACCTTGATGAGTTCCTTTTGTTCTTCTGGGGCCCATATATGGCTATCTTCAGTGAGTTTGATGTTGCGAAATCGTCGGATAGATAGAGAGGGTATGGAGCTCACATCCACCTAGTGCCAAAGCATCGGGGTTTCTAAGTACGAGTTAATTTCCGCCGTTACAATCTCATTGTTCCGGTACGTACTGGTTTGCGGAACAAGTGTGTGAGCTCATCGGGGTCCAGATTCAAGGCGCACCAAGCGTCGTCATTTCCGAAATCGAGAACGAAATTCCGGGTATCCACGCTCTGCAGGCCTTGCAGATATGTTTTGAAGTTCAACTCATTATCGATGTCACAGAATTTATTCCACAGAGAGGAGTGGCGTCTGAAGCTCTCGTAGTACTCTTGCGCAGTCTGTCCACTATGTGATTGCGAAGGGTCGGTCATGCTTTGTCAGACTGATCAAGCTGATGTAAAAAGAAGAGAGCTAAACACAAACCAAAGCGAGAGAATGGGGAGTGGAAAAAGAAGGTTGCAGAGGGATTAGGCCCCTAAGTATGCGGGTGAAGATAGCGTGTTGCCCGAGAAGGCAAGCGATCACCAGCCTCGTCTGACCCCGGCCACTTGCGGCTGACACGGCCGCCACGCTCGCAGCTGACTTGTCCAGCAGGCCTCCAGTCAGTCGATCACTCAAGATATTTTCCTCTACCCGTGGTCAAGCTTTTTGACATGCGTTTCATACCTATGCTATGCATCTATTCACGATCGATTCAAATTAGTATTTACTACACTCCTTGGAACCCGCCTCATATTACGTGGTGGAGGGGCTCAATAGTTGAGTCCCTAACATAGGAGACTCCATTCGCACACTATGTATGTACAGAAACTAGGTGACTGGCCCGGGGATATCGAGATCGAGGTTGTCCCAATCCCAAATCTGGCTCAATTCACCCAAGTCCAGATCAGGAATATCCGCCAATCCGGCCATCTCACTATCGAGAGTGTCCGCATCAGGAGTTGCAAATGCATTGAAGCCATCCATTCCAGACATTTCTGTGCCAAACTGCCGTGAAATGTGTACTGAATCATCCATAACCGGGACGTTGGTGGACGACTCGGTCGGTTGGTTACCGGGAGGCGTGCGAGGCCCTCCTGTCGAATCTTCCGATGACTTATACCCGGCCATTCTCTTTTCTGCAGGAGACAACGCCATGCTACTGCTGAGTTTGAAGAGTATCCCATAGCACCGAGTGCTAGTTTTGCTGTGACGAGAGCTCTGTCTGAGCGACTCGAGGGCCAACCCAATTCCCTCGATAACTCTATCTCGTTGGTATAGTCTCCGACTGGGATCATGCAGTATCGCAGAGCATAAGAAAGCAGCCGTATCAAATATCAAAAACGGCGCAAAGTGGAAATTCATATTCCGCGGCGGGAGATAACTCAGATGCTGGCGTGACACCTCTAGCAGCTTCAAGGCACAATCCACGGCCATGGGTTGCAGGCTTTTTTCGATGCTGATGGAGTCTGCATCCATAGTCTTCGTCAAACACTGTTTCAAGGGAAGGAGCATGACCATATAACCGATGACATGGAGCGTGGAGCGTTTTACAAGAATATAATTATGGGCAGTGTCCCACCGCGTGTCTGGGCTTGTGAGACTGAAAACTGATGGGAGGGAGGCGAACCATCGTTCAGTCTCTTGCTGAATAGCGACTGCTTGTGAAGGAGACAAGATGCCTCCCATCACACCGGGTATCTTGGAAATCATCTGGCCTAATTGGCACTCGAGGGCCAATGGGGTTATCGGAGATGGCAATCCTTCCTCACACTCGGGGCTTTCCAATCGGAGATTAGGCAACTCAAAGCTGCAATAATTGCTATTTATAATGAATGGTCGAGACAATAATAGGGACATTTGCCTTGTTCGGTCAGTAACACGTGGATAGATGTGAAATTGTAGGCAACGCACCAGTCCCAAGCATAGAGGACGCACCAGACTCGCCGACGCATTTCTATATCGAACTCGGAGATCTTCAATCTTGAGGAGCTCCTGTGCATGCCTAAAATCGGTGAGCGTTAGAAGCAGGTTCAAGTCTACGCAGTAAATAGTGCAGGGCCACTACCTAGTTCTTGAGCTTCGTGGATGGCGGCACTCAGGGCATGCCACGCCTCCACAAACGAAGCCTCAATCTTGAACCAGTGGGCGTTCAGGAACAATTGTTGAACCTGCGTCAATCCTCCCTTCCCCGGAGGAATAGTACTGCTTAGCTGCTTCGCCACATGATGATATCGTCGGGAAAGCGTGGTGATACTTTCTCCGAGCTCCGATTCAAGCTTATGCTGTGCATCGGTATCTAAAAAGCAAGCCGAGCATGCACAAACATGCAACAAAAGACAAGTAAACTCTGGGGTCAAAGATTGCCCATTGGCTTTGGCTGTCCACCAGGCGACATAGTCGGATGAAAACGTGGGAGGGTAAAGAATATAGTATTGATAGTTTGTGTCGGTTAGAAAATGCTGTACCAACATGTCTTTCACGTGTAAGCACTTCGTTTCTCTGTGGAAACTGGAAGATATATGCATACCTGTGTATGGTTTGGGAGGAATCGCACGCAATGCATTCTCCATTTCCAAGGATCTTATTTCGGTTTTTTGAGGTAGATTCACTCCAGCCTTTTTTTTGGGGTGCGTATCAGCCATAAGTCAACGGCAAAGCGCAGAGTCCGAGATTCATACAGCATTGACGCCTTCTTTGATTGCAGAGCAGGGGTCATCATGAAGATAGCCCAAAGCCCGAAAATCCTCATTCTTGATAACGGTCTGTTTGCCAGCATCATCCAGGGGATCCGGCTCCCTATCTACGATGCGTTGCGGGAGAGCATTCAACGTGCTATACTTCAAGTCAGTCTATGAGGGCGATGAAAGCATCAACTCTGCGAACCTCTTATTGTTTGCAGTAGCCGGTCGAGCCGCCTTTACGATCCGTTTGGGCGCGAATTTACAGAGATGGGCGATCCGCCTCGCCTGGCAGTGGTTACAAGGCCATTCGCGACTACACTATATGATATTAGTGCGATTCCTTACTACTGGAACGATCGCATGGGCTTCTTGCCTTCTGCTTCCGTCGCTGGCACTCGGTACACGCGGTACCCGGGCGCACGGATTTGGTAGGGTCTGCTGGATTCACCATGGCTCAGGTCGTCTGCTGATCAGGACCATGTATGGAGTCGCTTCAGATAGGAAGAATGCATTGAATTGATGCAAAAGAGAGAGATTCCCCATCTGGCCAAAGGGACTGTATCGTGCATGAGTGTCGATGCATAGGTAAGTGCGGGAAGATCATTTATGCCTGAGTAATAAGGCGTAAATCACATGAGCTAAATTACTCATCTTAGGGCACCACTATCCCTGTTCAGGGTTAGCGGATACCCGCACCCACAAGCGGAGAAGCGCGAATTGATTTTCTGGCGGCGGGAAAAGTTCAAGGCTTTCTCTTCTTGTTTCGTTCCGATATTCAGCGCAGAGCCACACCATAAGGATTTGAAGATTCTTTTGGAAGACTGTCACCATCATGTCTAAGATCACAGTCGGTATGTTTTATCTTCATTACTCGTCAGCTATCATTCTCTTGACCTCTCACTAATCGCTTTTCTGTCCTACAGCCGGAGTGCGCCAGAACATCCAGCAGCTGCTGGACTACTCTCAGAATGAGAAGAAGAGAAACTTCCTCGAGACCGTCGAGCTTCAGATCGGTCTGAAGAACTACGATCCCCAGCGTGACAAGCGTTTCTCCGGCACCATCAAGCTTCCCACCGTCCCCCGCCCCAACATGACCATCTGGTATGTTTCGCCCTCTGGGATCGACCGACCGGACCCTTCGGAACAACCCGTGCGATGGAGAGGTCGAGTCGTCGCAGAAAGAACCTCATGAGCTGACTCATTCGCCTGTTTCTAGCATTCTTGGTGACCAGCACGATCTCGACCGTGCTAAGCACCACGGCATCGATGCCATGTCCACTGATGACCTGAAGAAGCTGAACAAGAACAAGAAGCTCATCAAGAAGCTTGCTCGCAAGTACGATGCCTTCCTGGCTTCCGACAGTCTCATCAAGCAGATCCCCCGTCTCCTGGGTCCTGGTCTCTCCAAGGGTATGTCGTTCTCACGATCTCGGTGCAGGCTTCAGATACTGACAACCTGCAGCTGGTAAATTCCCTACCCCCATCTCCCACGCCGAGGATATGTCCAAGAAGGTCACCGAGGTCAAGTCCACCATCAAGTTCCAGCTTAAGAAGGTGCTCTGCCTTGGTGTTGCCGTTGGCAACGTCGGTATGACCGAGGACGAGCTTGTCTCCAACGTCATGCTCTCCATCAACTACCTCGTCTCCCTCCTGAAGAAGGGCTGGCAGAACGTTGGCAGCCTTGTCCTCAAGGCTACCATGTCTCCCCCCAAGCGTCTCTACTAAGCTATTGGCGCTCTAGGGCTACGCTGGGGATCGTTTTTAGGGGCTAGAAGACCGGTTATGTATACCATATTTACGGGAATATGACTCTCTTTAGTTCCTATCTCTGGATCGTCTTGGGTAGTGCACGTAATCTCGGTCATCCAAGTGATGTCTCAATATATATTGGTACAGTCTAACTACAAGTAACATACAGGGTAGAACGAAAAGGAAACCTCAAGTTATCCGGTTATTGCATCCCATGCATCAGATCTGTCTTATCCAAAATCATTCCCCGGAGGCCAATGAATTCTCTTAGGCTCTCCCACTCTTCACCTTCCTCTTCACCCCTCATATATGGATCTTTGAACCCCCATGCAATGGCAACTCGATCGAGAGCTGCGCGTTCCTCTTCCCGGAGCCACCGATGTCGCAACGGGATCCCAGGAAGCCATACAACACGCTCCATGTGATCATTTGCTGTCGTGATAGCTAGGAGACCCACAGAAGATACACCCCCGACATAGGCCAGAGACGCAGCGAAGGCAATCCCTGTCGCCATGCTCGGGTCCATGGTGTTTTGCAGGGATGATGCCCAAGACGCAATCACATAGCAAGCAGCCGGGGCGGTCGCAAGTCCACCTAGGGGCACGGATGCCTTCTTAAAAATCTTTGCGCGGTGGAAGGCCGGTGCACAGAACGTGTTGTCAATGATCTCCAACACAAGAGGAAGGTTTCGTTGCTCAATGGCGACATCCAGAGCCATGTTGGCCAGCTCCGTTGGAACAGCACTGTTGACGCTCTTGGGGTTCGCCCTGTGGTACTTTACCGGGGAACTATTCTCCTCGGGCACCGGCTTGTTGGCATAAAGGTGGAAGATCTCCGGGAATTGCTCGGCCCGCTTGAGCAAGGTCTGGATCTTGGTGTAGCAGGCAAGTGCCTCAGGAGAGATAAACACCTTTTCGTCCGTCAGAAGGTCGTAAGCCACCTGGGCGAGCGAATTGGCCAGCTGTGGATGCGGGTTGCGCAGTGACTTCGATCGTTTCTTCCCACTGTTCTTCTCCTCCAAGTCCAGGATAGATGAGATTTCGTTTTCTCCCTTTCCTTCCGACGACGACTGCTTTGCCTTTTCGGGCTCTGGTAGCACGAGTGCTTCGGCGAGTTCTTGGCATCTATGTAGTAGCTGGACGACCGCCTCGTTGGAGGGGACGGCATCGACGCTTCGAAGCTCGGTGGAATCATGGGCGATCTGTCGCAAAGTTTCTTCGGCTTCCGTTGGGGGGGCTGGGTCGGACACTGTCGATGAGAACCATTTGGAAATTTGGCTTGTAGAATTCCCTGGAGACTTCAAGTCCTTTTTCGATCGCCATTGTCCGGTTTGCGTTTTGCGACTCAACGGCGTCGTTGTCGAGGAGTAAGACCGGGCGATTTGGAGACGGGGTTGAGGAGTCTGAGTCCCGGATAGCCGACAGAACTGACAGACCAGAGCCTGGGGGCTTCGGGGTTTGGGACGTAGGGCAATTCCCTTCATGATGAGGAAATTGGACGGGGTGGTGAAAGGGAACAAGAAGTGATGCGATCACGGCGAAGACACGGGCCCAAGGCGGAGACTTACTGCCGCCGCCGCTAATCGTTGCCTGCTGCTCCCGTTCACTATCTCACTCTCCCCCTCTGTCACTCCCCCATCTACCTGTCCTCTTCTGTTGAAACAACACATTCTGTTACTACCTGAATCTCTAATCCGACGTCTTCATCTACGCACAAGTATCAGATGATCCGCTCGATTCCGGAAGACTGATCCTTTCGTGATCGCTTCGGTTCCTTCACCCTTTACGCCCAACGTCATCAACCCATCTGTACAAGCCAACACTATGCCTCCTCCCCCACCACCACCGCCTCCTCCCGGTGGAATGGGAGGCCCTCCTCCCCCTCCTCCCCCAGGATCTTTGCCTTCCATGCCAGGGAAAAGTGATGTGAAGGGTCGAGTATGTTGGGACCGTCGGAGACAATGAGTGTGTGATTTCGTGGCTAACGTACTTCCCAGAGTGCCCTCCTTTCAGATATCAACAAAGGTACGAGATTGAAGAAAACCGTCACCAACGACAGATCGGCACCGATGATTGCCGGCGGAGGTGTCAAATCCTCTGGACCTCCGTTGGGTGCCGCTCCCCCTGTTCCTGGCATGGCAAAGCCCCCGCCGCCGCCGGGAGGGCTTGCACCACCAGTACCCCCCGGACAGGCCGCCAACCGACTACGGAGTAATAGCGATACTGGGTCAGGAGGGGATAGCGGTACTGCACTGCCAGCAGCGCCCCAACTTGGAGGGCTCTTTGCCGGCGGAATGCCTAAACTGCGCAGTCGAGGAGGCGTTGACACCGGAGCTAATCGAGATTCCCCATATCTCTCCGAGACGGACGGGGCACGGCCACCTCCAAAGCCCCCTGTTGCATCTGCTCCCAAGCCTCCTGGAGCCCGGCCCCCTCCGCCGCCGCCGAGCTCGGAATCTTCCCCCGCACCTCCCGTCAATCCCCTAGTCGCCAATCTGCGGAAACCTCCCCCAAGACCTGCTTCCAGACCGTCATCGACAATATCAACTGCGTCGGTCAAATCGGCACCCGATATCCCACCTCCTCGTGCACCTCCGCCATTGCCCGGCTCCGCAAAGCAGCCTCCGCCACCCCCCACGAGTTTGCGAAAGCCACCCGCAGCCCCTGCCCCGCCCCCTCCGTCAACAAGCCCGGCTGCACCACCTCCACCCCCGCCTGCAGCTTCTGCTCCTCGACCACCGCCAGCACCTTCGCGATCTACTCCTCCGCCTCCGCCTCCCCCTGCGGCATCTGCACCGCAGCCGCCTAACGGGACGAGTGCTTCATCTATTGCCGTTCAAGCTGCGCGGAATGCGCTGGGACATAGCCATCAGACACCATCCGCCCCTCCACCACCACCTCCAGCCGCATCTGCTCCCTCTGCACCTCCTCCCCCTCCCCCTTCTGCACCACCTTCGGCCCCTTCGACCGCCACCAATTCATACGATAACTACCACCCCGATCGATCGACATTGGACCCGAGTGCTTATACTCTGAGCAACGGCGGACCACCGGTGGGGTCGAGTCCCGGAAGCGCAGGTCCGCATGGGTCGACTCGAATTGACGACAACCGATTTAAGTTTCAGAGCGAAGGATTATTTCCCAAGCCGCGCCCGTTTGTGGGAGGTGCGCGCCGGTACCGTGCGGGTCGGGGTAGCAGTGTTCCGCTGGATTTGAGCGCATTGAGTGGTTGAAGTCATCGTGGCCGAGACTTCGTCGCTTGAGACTTTTGTCGCGCCGTGTCCGTGTTTATAATGAAAGTAGAAGATAGCATTGAGGACTACTTACTACCTAGCGATGATGTATGTATGTAGATAGTCCGATAACTAATTTAAATTAGGTAAAGTGCCTCCTAAGCCGCTAGGCTAAATCCAATCTACTTTCTTAGCTTCTAGGATCGGGTTAAGTGCTTTGAGAAGCTCCTACCCTGTCCTTTACAAAACTAGCTATACTAACGCATAGCTATAAATATATGTCGAACTTCCTGACCTTACCTCTGGAGGTATTCTATATTTACAAGCTTCCTCGTAAAGGTAAAGTAGATAAGAAGCCATTCCTCCCTTACCGATACAGAGATTATGCTAAAGCCACCGGTATAGATGTCCCTGTTGAAGCTCACTCTTGAGGTCCTTTGTATGGTTGTGGCCTTAATCAGCCGGCTCTTCACGCTTTATGTTACACGTATTGCGTCACTTACGGCCTCTTTTTACCACGCCTTTTTAGGTACAATGTAGAATCTAAAGAGGCATCGGGGCTGTTATAGGTGGCTAGTCACAATTAGCCGGACATTGTAACAATCTTCTTGGAATACTATAGCGCTGATATCAATACTATAGATGCGAATGGAGATACTGCCCTATATCATGCTGTTTAATACGTTATGCTTCCGTAGTAAAGTATCTACTGTGAGACGGAAAAATCATTATTGATAGTAGGAATGCTTGGGGCAGGACTGCCCTTCACGTTACTACGTAAAACCTGTGTTATCTGTAAGTTTTTATCCTTGTTTTATATAAAACTAATCTCCAGTACAACAAAGTAGCGGCTTTCTTTAACGCTCAGTATATCAATATAATTTCGTGCTGCTACAAAGCGGCATTAATAGCAACGCAATGGATTGCATTGGAAGGACTGCTCTTCATGTCCTCGCTATATTATGATGTTTAGACGCACTCCTACTCTTACTCGGCTAACATAGTGTGTAAGTAAACGCTATTGATAACTGTAGCTATAGGCCTTTATTATACGCCTCTAAGAGCGGATTCTTATTAGGAAGTAAACTCCTGGTTCAGCACCTAGGTGTCTGCCTTAATTCTCCTCGCTATAGGGTATTCTGCTCTCTATAGCTTAGCGAGTATCCATATCGTAGCAATTTTACTATATAGACGTTGTTGAAGTTCAACAACATTTCCGAGACGTCGTCTCTTGTTCGTACTTTCCCCCGTCATAGGTCTAATGTGTAATACGTAGCGCCCATATTTTAGGAGTCGTGAGAGATAGGCTTGGCCTGCAGGGATTTCCGATGCTTCCGCCATGTTATTCGATAAATTTCAGTAGTAGTTTGAGTATAGACTCTGTCTTTTACCCCTGAGAACCTGATGGAAATTCTGTCAGATTGCGTTTGGTCTTTGCAGGCAGTGCACCAAACTCCTTCATACACCATCACTCTAATAATGTATGTAATCTTATAGAGACGGAAGAGGTAGAGCTTCAAACCCATTCTGGTCTGGTCTTCTATCTTCCACAACCACTTCCATTCCTCGTCGGCCACAGAACCCATCATTCCCTGCCGTAACCTCCACCATCCGAAACGAGCCACCACTCTGGCCTTCCTTATCCGGCATCCATACCTCCCTCTGTACTTTCGTTCCTGGCACCTCCGCCCTTCGAGGATTATACAACGGCAGCCCGGCAATCTTATTTAGCAGATCATGCGCACGCGCATATAACCGCTCAAACCGCCTTGTAGTTCCCAGCCACATCAGCGTCGTCGGCGTGTACGCCACCCGTACAAACGGATTCATATACACCCCCGTATCCTGTATCTCGCCTACATCATCCGGCGCATCCTGCAAATCCGCATGCACGAGACAACACTCCGACGCATCCCAGAATAATTCGTCGACAGCGCGGAACCGCACAGGGTATTCTTTCTGGAAAAACCACGCATTGAACGCGACTATCCCGCCCCAGCAGCTGCGCACGCGCACGGCGTCCCGGCCTGCTAGCACATCCTTCCGACTTATTCCGTGCCCTGCTGTCGTGAACCAGGGGAAAAACGGAAAGCCGATACCGTATCCTGCCAGGTCACGGGTAGCGTAGTTATCGTAGAATTTAAAAGGGTTGCTAAAGTCCACGGCGCAAGCGGCCCGGTAGGCTAGAGTAGTCTGCGCGTCGCGGGCGTTTGTGCAAAAGAGGAGCTGGAGGACTTCGACGGGATTGAAGTAGACATCGTTAACGTAGAGGAATTTGTCGTATTTAACGTGATTCTGTTTCTCGAGAGGCTGCAGAGCGCGGTTCCGTAGTGCAGCTAGGTAGTCAATGCGCTTGATGCGTCTCTCTCCGTTAGGGAATGTGACGCGAGGGAAGGTGTCGAAGGTAATATGCTCATCGACATCGATCACGATAGACTTATTGCATGGGATTCGCCGCGTTAGGGTCTCGAGGGCTTGCTTGCCCTCTTTCCCACTGTTGTTCTCGTACAGACTGAGGAAGACGTTGTCGTGGCCGAGTAGGTCGATCAGCTGCTCGAGCGCTTCGCCCCATTGACCGCCGGCGTACTCCCCATGAGGATCGTACAAAATAGCGGCGATAAATACTTTTTCACTGTGGGTGTTTCCCCGTCCGGGGGCATCAGAAGTGGAAACTGCTTTTGTGAGCTTCTTATAGCAAGGTGGAAGGTGAGTGTAGGAAGGCCAGAAGATAAATGTTAGCATAATATCACACAAAATGATTGTTACTGCTATCCAGAGAAGCAGCAGGATATAACGGTACGGAGTACTCGGTCTCCGGGCAAAGATAGCTCTACCATGCCAAGGTGACCGGGGAAGCAAGAAATACCCTGACGAAGGGGGTCGGCGGAGTAGCCTGGCCAGGAGAAGTTTGGCGCGCACCCATAACATGCCGGCGGTTTGGATAGGATTCGGGCACAATATTCCTAGAGAGAAAGACTGAGTCTAGTCATGGATATCTGTCACAGCGCCATCTAGACCGACGAGTTACTGTAAGGAATGAGCAAGGTCGTCAAGGTGTCCAACGCCGTAAGTTAAATACGCGAGACAGACTGACAGGCGCAGATTTCTCTCACGGATCCAGGTATTCAGAATGTCGTAAAAGCCGAAGACACCCCTTGCCTGCTTCTCGTGGCTAACTTTGTAGATCACGGCTTTTTGCGACCCCTTATTTGCAACTTTAACGCACTTTGGCGTGTCCAATTGTCCAATATCCTCTCATAGCCTGGACAGACATTAACGGGACAGAGCCACAAGGAGCATCCGAACAAGAATTTAGAATAGTTAGGATACATATTCGCTATACAGGAAAGTGTGAGGGTCGCATGACTCTAAACCAGTCACAGTCGGCCCCCCTAGTTTTCGTGCATAGTCGCGTTACCTGTGTAACGATATTCCAACCCTTCAAGGAGTCGCGAAGTGACCGTCACTTCTCATACAAACTCCGGCTGCGGAGAAGCGGAGTCGCACACTTTACCTGCCGCTAGCCTAATGCGGCTATTATCTGTATTAAATACTAAATTTATTATAGTATTTCTAACTGCTTAGTAGACTTGCACACGGTTAGGTTATGTTAGGTTATAGGAAAGAAAATTTAACCTAACCACGGTATAGAAAAATCAGCGGCGTTTAACCGTCTTAACTGTCAGTGAGGTGACGATGTTACGAGTAAGCTCCTCGCGAACAGCCCAATTCCTTTTGGCAGCATCCGCCGGTTTCACAGGGATGAGTCCACGACTTGATAATTTCTTCTCCCTATTAATCAAAGAACATGACACTCCCGACAGCTGCCTGCTCGTCTAGTTCTCTCTCTCTCTCTCTCTCTCTCTCTCTTTTATAGAGAGACAAAAACCAAAAAATGTGGCCCGAGCCGCGGATCGAACGCGGGACCTCTCGCATATATGCTAAGGGTGAACCCTAAGCGAGAATCATACTGATTTCGTGTTAGTAAAGGCATTCCGGAGTAACACGGAAGGGGATGTTGCTTACCCACTAGACCACCCGGGCTACTTGATATTAACATAGCTAACAATCCGTGTTAAAATTTCGGCACCGACGGCGTGTTGTGGACCCTGTCAGGGGTAATTGGTCATGTCGGAGCCGTGATGACGTCGATGCCGAGAAGAGTCACAACCCGAGGGATGATCCCGAGTCAAGAGTTCCATGCGACGAACCGTTGATGGCTGATCTTAGGACAGAGTGTGGATACATAGCGATGGAAAGTAGGGCGAATGGTATGAATGTTGGAAGGATGTCGTGACGGGTGGGCTTCCCCGTACTCAGTCTGCTTTCCGTCCGCCTGCCGTCTCTTCGGACAGTCGCTCCAACCAGGCCGACACCTGCAGCTCCCGATTATGCTTCTCCGGATAGCATGCCTCTGAGTACTGCTGTGCGGTAACGAGAGTGTCGATGTTGCGCTCGGTCAAAGGGATTTTGTATCGGTTCTTCTGCTTGAGGAGTTCTCGCTCGGCCCGCGCTGCGGGCGATAGTTTGGAGAGTGTGTCTCGGATACGTCGTATCCCAGCGTTGGGGAAGTAGGAGATGCGCGGTGGTCCAAAGGGGGCGTCTACCCTCCAGGGGTCCTCAGAGACCATAGACTGGGGGTTTTTCTTGCGTGGGAGAGGACGGAACTTGGACATGTCGATGGGAGGGAGACTGGATGGAGGGAGTTGAAAGATGCATGGTCTGGTGGTGGAGTGAGGAGGAAGAGAGAAAGAGAGAAAGAGGAGGTCGAGGAGGTTATTATAGGAACCTCTCCCATGGGAGTGTGCGGGGAATCCTTATCTGCTTCTTGGAGAGAAACGGGGGATGCGCGTGCCGAGACCCGTCTAGCAGGGCAGCTGCAGATAGTATATGCTTGGCAACATCCTTTTTTTCGTGGGATCACACGACCCTCGGTGGCTTCAGAGGGCTTCTTTTCTGTTCCTTTTCTTCTTCCGGTCCCTTTCTATCGCTCACTGCTCGTCCACACAAAGGGGCTGTCACACCACCACAAAGAATGGTCAGAATGTGAAGGTTCGCCCTCAATACGTCATTGGACACTGGGGCCAGTTGGCTTCCCACTAAGCGCTCCATCATGTCGATCCGTCTGATCCCAACGCCTGGCGGGATGAAGACTGCCACTCGCTTTGTACCTGTAGGATTTGGCTCCATGGATAAGCAATACCGTCTCGAAAAGGCTAAAATATGCCTCACGAATGGAGCAACAGAAAGTGGTATCGTCCTCGTGTTCCTGATCCACTACCCGCAAGTGACTGGTCTTCTTGAGCGTGTGGCGGCAAACTGACTTCGATGTGCGCACCAGGCATTGCCTGGCTTATGCGCCAGGGATTGCCAGTGCAGAACTCGTGCGGTCGGATGGCCAGGCGAACCGTGTTTGGGATACTACAAGGTGTTCCCTGACCACGCTCATATGCCATTGGCGCTGTGTCTGTCGCCTCGCACCCTCGCATCACCCGACAGACGAGTCTGGAACGGGTCGAGAAGCCAAAGGTACCTCAAGGTGCGGGGTCGACGACGATGCAGCCATTCCGTTTCCTCCCTATTGGCATGTCGTTCATACAATCCTTGTCCCGCCTCGGAAATCCGGCAAGACAGGTGACTGGAAGTTTGGATGTCTGGACCAACAGCGTGGAGAGTCGAGTCAATAATCAATGGCTTGTCATGCTTGACGCCATTCAAGACGCACTACGGAGTCACCAACCGAATAGCTATACAAGTATGATCCATGAATTACACATAACCAGCCCTATCTTTTATACCGCTAAAACAACCCAAACGCCAGCATGATCCGACCGAACTTTTGTGGGATCCTGAATCCCACATGCAAGGGACCCTACGAGATCAATAGATCTTTCACACTCATCCTTGATTGCCTCCGCGGTTCTGGAAGTGTAGTTGGGGTACTCTCCGACTGCTCTTCCTGAACGGAGCTGATGGATCGACGACACTCTCGATTGAGCATGAGCAAAGCTGCCGACGCCTCATGATCCATGTCAGCAGACAATGCTGGGCGATATTCGGGTTGGATGACGGGAGAAGTGTTGGCAGACGACAGCAGGGTCCATGAACTCCGGGAGATGTCCCGGGTGGAGGAATAGGAGGGCCCCAGTGCGGGGCTCGGCAAGATCGTTGGGGTGGGTTCCAGGACACCCGTCGACGGCGCGTGACTCCGGGGCGAGAAGGCCGGCGAAGTCATGGCGGTTTGCCGACCGTCGGGCACTAAGTCAGGAGATGCCGATGCCGAGTATGGGCCGTCACCACCCTCGAGCACCTCTGGTGACGCTGGAGAAGGGGGAGCCGGGGGCATGCGCGGCGGCATGGCGGAGTGTTGAGGATTTCCGGCCGTCTTGAGGTCTTGAATGCATTTTTCCAGGTAATTGACATATTCGATGCTTGCCTGCACGTCGACCCCTGTTAGTGATCACCGGCACAATCAATCTTTCCGGGGCAGAAGGTGCATACCTGGAGAATCGCCAGTTTGTGCATGTCCTGGCCCCGACACGCGGGAATCATGTCCTTCAAGGTCGCGAATTCCTCGTTCATCTTGGATCTCCGTCGCCGTTCGATCAGACTATGCGCCGTCTTCCGGGCGATCTTCCGACCGGCAGCACTGGTCGCACTAGGCTGTTTCTTCTTGGAAGCGGCCGGGGACGCATTGTTGGCCGAGTTCTTATTGGTGGAGTCTTTGGACGATGATCTGGCGGCGGTCGAAGCTGGCTTGGGCGAGGATTGGGTCTTGGGTTTCATCTGGATGATCTTGCGAGTGCGTGTAGGCGGCGGCGGGAGGTCGAAGTCTTCCAGCGGTCTTTTGACACTGGCCTGCCGCGGGGGCTGTGGATTGCGTCCGGGACCCAGATCTGGGGAAGCGGGGGAGGCAGGACAAAAGACGGATGGGTCCGACTTGGAGGAGCGTCTACTGGCAGAGTCCAGCTTGGAGGGGCTGATGGCCGCAGGAGGCAATGCGAAGGAATCCGTGCCATCGATGGGCATCTGTTCCTTGATGATGAGCTCTCCCGACATGGCGGGAGTGGGTGGAAGACGAGAACGTGACATGGTCCAGCGAGAGACGAGTAGAGTACTGTGTAGAGATAAGTAGGACAGGAGAGGTGGTGGTACGGTTCTGCAGACTGACCGAAGTCAACTCAGACGGGAGACAGTGTATCCAGGGGGATCATGTAGTATATAAGTTGGGCGAGCCGGGGGGGTCGGGGAGAAGAGAACAGAACATGGCGACAGGATGGTCGATCGACGAGGACTAGATAACGTGTAGTACTATTGATGAGCGATATTCTTGATGATCCTCGAGTGAAAGTGTCGCGTGCTTGAGCGCCCACGCGGCGGCATCGGGCATCTCCATTGGCCAGGAACAGAGGCACGAGACCGGCCAACTCGTCCGCCTCTCCCACACTCGTGCGCGCATCCTCTGCTCTGACGGGTGTCTTTCTCCTCCTCCTCCTCCACCTCCTCCTCCTTCTCCCTTGCGTTTGATCTTCCCTCTATCTACTACCTACTAGGTACCTTACCCGGGTAGGTGGGCTTCTTCCGGTCTGGCCCATGCTGGTGACGTCCGCCTTCTCATTGGCGCGGTATGTCCCTGGCTCTCTACTTCAGATTCTCCTCGTCCAGTCAGATCTACAGTCATCGAAAATCTACCGGATGCGCATGTGCTCGCAATTCAACGCCTCTTCTTCGTATTTCCTATTCCGGTAATTGCATACACCCCAACAGTGCCTAGTGGTTGACCAGCAACCCACACTCCATCATCATCATCGTCAAATCATCGACTCGGATGTAAACCACTGGAATGGTGACTCCACGGTCCAGCGATCTTCCTCTGACCATGGACATTTACCCCGTCCAGACAGGCATTGGAGCACGTGCAGCAACCAGTGGATCTCCCCTAAACGTCCTCCATGGCCCTGCCTTATCTCCAGTTGCCTCCGCATAGCCAAGCTCGGTCTAACACCGGCTGTCACACTGGACATACGTGTCGTAGCTGTCGGTGGTCAGCGAATTTCACCCTGCATCGAATGTGTCCGACGCCACTCACCAGAAGTCTTCATCGTTCGGTAGAGCTACCACACAAGTCTGAGCGGCCACGCCGCACAGCTGGGAACACACCCCGTCGGGTCTATAGTCCGTGCTCGCGGGGCTGTGGGCGGTGCCATTGGCCTTGTTGGGGGACATGATCTTGGGCCAGTTCCGGTTGCTTGTCGTGCGACGACCGGGGACTTGGATCTTCTCCAGGTGGAATTTCCCGGATGACGAGGGAACCGCGACCGCCGTACTGCTCAGGGCCACAATGGCTCCAATCACGATGTTGTTCAGATGCATGGCGAGGGTTCTGGATGCGGTGGAGGGTAAAGTAGATCGGGGAAGCACAATGTTGATGATCGGTTTAGCTTGTGGCTTCTGCAGAGGAAGCATTGAGGTCCTGCTCTCATGATTGCTTATATAGCGCTCCCAGCGTCACGACAATCGCGACATTCCGTGTTTCGATTCTGAAGCCACTGACAATCATGTACACCCCTAGATAGATGTCATGCATAACCACCGTTGAGTGCATACCATTCCGACCAGGGTTTCAGACAGTCTCTTTGCCACAGCTTTCGATACTGGAGCATTCTACATCATTCTCGACTATTTCCATCGATCACTATTCACCGCTGCAACGGGCAAAAATGAGCGCACATTCCTAGCATCTATTGGCTCAACACGAGACGACCATTGCATCGCACTCTCGTATTATGCTGCCGCTTATCGGAGTAGGAATCATCAAACAAACAACATCCTTCTATGCACCGACGCGATGAAAGTGTCCTGCCTCGAGCAAACACGTTGAAGGGCGAACTTTAACCGGACGATCTCCATCCGAGACAGCTGGCCAACCCTGATGTAACTACCCAAGTCTCGAGCAAGTGAGGAATGCGGACACAGTTTCCTTTTCCACTGACCAAACCTGATTCTCACGCGTCTGATAATTCTTGCCGCATCCCATCATGACGTCTATATCAGTTCTATCCATGCACTGCCTCAGATACCTCCCCGCCACCATCCCTTGAACAACAAGACGGTCGATACGAACCCTTCCTTGCACCTGTTCATCCCTTCATCCCTCGACCCACACGCTCTCACCCGAACACCCGTCGGAGGAGCGTCGCGCCGAAATCCTTCTCGGCCGGCGAGCCGTCCATGCGCCAGATACGGTTGCCCGCCTTGGAGCTCAGCCACAGCCCATGGTCGCTCGAATGTTCCTCGTCGCCGTCGATGCGGTGCCGGTTCCGCTGATCGGTGACACACATACCCCGCGTCCACTGCCCCGGTGGTCTCGATTCGAATATCCTCCGGGGACGTCGCTGATGGCTGCCACCCGGGGGTCGTCGGCCGTCATCGCGTACCACACACACACCGGGTCGTGCAGGCTGAGATCTACGTCGTCGCCCGCGTGACCCTGGTGCAGCCGCTCGATCGTCCGGAACGTGTGCGCGATAAACGCCGACACCCACTCCGCCAGCGGCGACCCGCCCTCCAGCGACGCCGCGACGGCCTCCCGAAACTGGCCGCGGGTCATTCCGTGACGCATTGTGATGTTCAGAGGGAATTGCCGCAGCGTGAGCGGCCGGCTGAGCTTGTCTGGGTACGCGGGCAGACTGGTGCCGGGCGGCATGGTGCTCTTCGGCGACGGCGAGGTCAGGGCGTAGACTCGCGCAGCCGCAAAGGCGTCGGCGTATGCGTTGAACTCGGCGACTGGCGTGACCTGGGGACGTCAGTACTCGCGGCGGGACGGGGTGCATACTGGAAGAGCGGGAAGGACCTACATTCCCGGGCTTGTTCACCGTTCCGCCCATGACGACGACCTCTTTGACGCGGAGGAAGGTCTCCGGATCCGCTGCGGACGCCAACGCTAGGTTAGTCAGGGGACCGACGGCCACGAGGGTGACGGTGTCGGGGTCGTTCTCCCGCAGGACGCGGAGGATTTCCTCGTGCGCACGACGCTTGGAGGGGATGAAAGTGCGGTGGGCGAGGGCACTGGGGCTGGACGTATCGCCCGTCGGGACGGGTTGGATGATGGATGGGTCCGCCGATGGGTCAAACATATGTTCCCAGGTCTCTTTGGGAGTGAGATGGGGGTGCTGCGGGGAGGTTAGTCGGACGAAGATGAAGCCATAGAGCCCAGTGAACATACGCTGGCGTGGATGCCGCCTAGACCATCCACTCCAAAGGTAGACTATTAGAACGCTGCATATACATGCATAAGCCCAAAGGTACGAAAATAGTCGCCGAGCATCTTCTGATCCTCTAGCGGATCCTCCGCGCCAACGGCGACGATCGGCGGACAGGCGCGCAGCGTCTCGAAGCCCTCGGGGCGGCCCTGCTGCCGACGCCACAGCATTTCGCGCTCGATGATATGGAACATGGAGATGACATTGCGAAGACAGCTGGAGCAGTCAGCAATGTTCAAAATGGGCTAGCAATGGTGGTTGGGTTGTAGGACAGCGGAGACCGCCGATGACGTAGCACGCACCTTCGCACTTCGATGTTACCGAATGTCAGCGATATAAGGAGAATTTCGACCTCTTCGGCCTTTGCCGAGAGGGCAAGCAGAAGACCTAGGATGTCATCGATACCCTGCGAGTGTGTTGTTAGCTGGGGTGAACGTAGCAGGAGAAATGACGTGGGGAGTTGATGGCTGTTGGTGGGGTAAAGGATGGCAAAGGATAACAGGACGGAGAGGGAGGGCATACCGGGTCTGTGTCGATGATGATCTTCTTCGATGGCATTGTGGAGTTCTATCTGGAGGAGTATATACAGAGCGGACGGAGGGAGGTAAATAGAGGAATGCTGAGAGGATGTGAGATGATGAGAAAGTGAAGAGTGTCTTGTGTTACCATGGTTGTTCTCCACTATCCAGGAACCTCTTAGTCATGCGCCATGGTTAGATAACTAGAAGTTAACTTTCTTTGAAGATAGAAACGGTGACTGATAGTGATTATAGCAATTACTGTGGATAGTTGCATATATATCAGTATAACCTATGGGACTTTCTGAGATATGTACGGAGTATGGGTAGACGTTCCCCCGCACCTATATATCGTGTCAACCAGCGGGAGATGACATGCAGGCCACAATATAAATGAAGCCGATCTATAGACCACAGATTTCCGCATCGTCCAGGAAAATCATTGCTGTGGTTTTCATCTTCGAGGCCTGCACCGTTTTCACAAGTCAAGATGGGTGAGTAATACCATGACAGCAATCACAAGACATCACCAAGTATCTCTCCTGGTACGCCGGATGGCCACAATAATAGCCCAAGCCTCTAGTTTGGTCTTGGATGCCCGCGATTTGCCATGTTCTTCCACGGCCGAGACTAGCTCCGCAGAAGTTACATTTACCGATGCGGATCAAGTCTGGTGCCACGAGGAAAAGATATCGCAAAGGGGGGAGACGGTGCATGAGGGAGCCTTTTCTGATCCAGGACTCCCTCCTATGATCTTATGATGGACGGGATTGCCGAGATGAGAGAGACCTATCTCTACTATATGTATCTCTCTCTGTATGGGGAAACTCCGGATGTAGACGTGGCCTGTTCGTGGATGCCGGCGGTACGGTTGGCCAGTGCTCAGCTATCCGTCGTATCATTCTTACGGAGTACACACAGGCGGAACCACAGGATGAATGAAGTACTCCGTACCTGATTCATAATTTCATATTGTCCACGAATGACACCCGCCGTTGACTTTGTCTCGACGTCCGTTGACAGGGGAATATTAATGAGAGGGCCTCGACCGACCAGGCTGTTCCCCGCATCAGAGAATATAAGGATGTATTGTAGATACTGTTGAATCCATCAGGAACACAAGGTGCCTACTAGGTACATACATTAGGGTCTCTTTCAAGATGGAATAATACATTATATTCACTGATGAATGACTGGAGGAATTAGGGAATTCCCATGGAATAAAGCGTGAATATCGTCTACTCCGTATGGGTGATGCTATTACCTGTCATCCGTATTGGGCTTACGGTACTATCCAACTAGTGGCCCCCTTCATCTCTCCAAGTGACCGTGTCCTCTTCCGCCCTCTCCAACTTCGCTTCCTCGTTCCCTCCTTTTCCCTCTCCCTCTCCCTCTCCCCCTACATCACGAGCGTCTACTCCTCTTCTCCTCCGTTACCCCCATCCACCT